CATGGACTCTCTTTGTTCTGAAAACCACAGTTCACTGACTCTAAGAGTGAGCAAGTTGCTGCAGCCAACGTCCCAAAAAGAAGTGCCTAACTTACAGGTATACAGAGTTTTGTATGAGAATTTGCTGCTATCTTATTGGTCTAGAAGTGTCGATGGGGAGGAGCTGTAGTTTAGACTTAGCTCCCCCCTGATTGGCCCATTACGATGTCCGTCCTCTGCTCCGGTCTCCAATCGGAAGGGGTCAGCAACCTGGGGAGGAAGAACCCTGCGCTGCCTCTCCTGACTGTTAACTCCCTTCACAATAAGAGCATGCTGTCGGTTATATTACACCCTGGGTGTGCAGATCTTTAACAACAACAACAACCTATGTGTAACCAAACCACACCCTTAATGTGCAAACAATTATTCTGTGAGTGAGCGCATCATAACACTAATGTTAAGTAGTATAAAAACACTCATTGTTTCTGATATAATACAGCACTTGTATTGCTATTGAAATATTTATCCCTAACACTGGCACCGCGACCAAATCAGTGCGACAGAAACAAATTGAAACGTCTCTGTTAGTGATTCCTATAACAGAAGTTGTTGTTTGTTCCACCAAAAGTAATTGTAGTTGTTGTTTGTTCCACTAACAGTAGTTCTTGTTTGTTCCACTAACAGTAGTAGTTGTTTGTTCCACTGACAGTTGTTGTTGTTTGTTCCACTGACAGTAGTTGTTGTTTGTTACACTAACAGTAGCTGTCGTTTGTTCCACTAACAGTAGTTGTTGTTGTTTGTTCCACTAACAGTTGTTGTTGTTTGTTCCACTAACAGTAGTTGTTGTTTGTTCCACTAACAGTAGTTGTTGTTTGTTCCACTAACAGTAGCTGTCGTTTGTTCCACTAACAGTAGTTGTTGTTTGTCCACTAACAGTAGTGTGTTGTTTGTTCCACTAACAGTAGTAGTTGTTGTTTGTTCCATTAACAGTAGTAGTTGTTTGTTTCACTGACAGTTGTTGTTGTTTGTTCCATTAACAGTAGTTGTTGGTTGTTCCACTAACAGTAGTTGTTGTTGTTTGTTCCACTAACAGTAGTTGTTGTTTGTTGCACTAACAGTAGTTGTTGTTTGTTCCACTAACAGTAGTAGTTGTTTGTTCCACTGACAGTTGTTGTTGTTTGTTCCACTGACAGTAGTTGTTGTTTGTTCCACTAACAGTAGTTGTTGTTTGTTGCACTAACAGTAGTTGTTGTTTGTTGCACTAACAGTAGTTGTTGTTTGTTCCACTAACAGTAGTTGTTGTTGTTTGTTCCACTAACAGTAGTTGTTGTTTGTTGCACTAACAGTAGTAGTTGTTTGTTCAATTAACAGTAGTTGTTGTTTGTTGCACTAACAGTAGTAGTTGTTTGTTCCACTAACAGTAGTTGTTGTTGTTTGTTCCACTAACAGTAGTTGTTGTTTGTTCCATTAACAGTAGTTGTTTGTTGCACTAACAGTAGTAGTTGTTTGTTCCATTAACAGTAGTTGTTGTTTGTTCCACTAACAGTAGTTGTTTGTTCCATTAACAGTAGTTGTTTGTTCCACTAACAGTAGTTGTTGTTTGTTCCACTAACAGTAGTTGTTGTTTGTTCCACTAACAGTAGCTGTCGTTTGTTCCACTAACAGTAGTTGTTGTTTGTTCCACTAACAGTAGTAGTTGTTGTTTGTTCCATTAACAGTAGTAGTTGTTTGTTTCACTGACAGTTGTTGTTGTTTGTTCCATTAACAGTAGTTGTTGTTTGTTCCACTAACAGTAGTTGTTGTTGTTTGTTCCACTAACAGTAGTTGTTGTTTGTTGCACTAACAGTAGTTGTTGTTTGTTGCACTAACAGTAGTAGTTGTTTGTTCCACTAACAGTAGTTGTTGTTGTTTGTTCCACTAACAGTAGTTGTTGTTTGTTCCACTAACAGTAGTAGTTGTTTGTTCCATTAACAGTAGTTGTTGTTTGTTCCACTAACAGTAGTTGTTTGTTCCATTAACAGTAGTTGTTGTTTGTTCCACTAACAGTAGTTGTTGTTGTTTGTTCCACTGACAGACTCAGGATGTTATTGTCAGTGTCTGACAGCATTATGGAAAGGATCCCTACAGAGATAGACCTTTAGTTTAACCACAAACAGCCGTAATATCACTATCACTCTCCACCAGACTCCAGAGACACAAACACTCATTTTATTTCAGATCATCGTAACTTCATTAAAGTGGACAGAAACGTCCATTTAATCAAACGTCATCATTCAGTTTGTGTCTTCATCAGCAGATTTTTACTGGTTGTAGATGTTTAAATAATTTGTTTTTCTGAGCTTGAGTTGTGATTGTTTTCTCAGCTGTCTCATTCAGGTTTCAGAAACCACTTTGGTTTGAGTTGTTGTATGCAAAGTGTTACATGAATATAAATTAACTTTATTAATATTTAACTTTAATTTCACTTATTGTCTTTCAGAAGGGGACGCAAGCTGCTCTTCCATTTTAATGACAAAACAAACTGCTGCTCAGACAAAACACTGGAGTTAAACATTTATGTTCCTGCAGACGTATATACAGAAAGAGGAGGAGGAGGAGGATGACGACGAGGAGGAAGAGAAGGGAAATGGGGCAGAAACCTGAAGGAGGAGCTCATCAGGTTTGGAAAGTGCTCGAGTGAACATCATCCCAACAACACATGCATCCATAATGCAGAGACATCCATTTATTCTCCTGACTGAGAGACAGCAGAGACACCGAGGACGCACCAGATCACTCTGATTACTATTTAACAGACAGAATGCTAAGCTAACTGAAAATTAGCAGGGTTAAGCTAACAGAACACAAAGCTAATAAAATATTAGCAGTGCTAAGTTACCAGTGATCATCAGCATAGAAAATGAAATCAAAAGAATAGAAATCAAAACACTGTAGTGATGCTAAGCTAGCAGAATGGGGCCCATTTCAGAAAGCAGGTTCAACAAACTCTGAGTTAAAACCTTAACTCCAGGTAGACCAACTCTGAGCTGGCAAACTCTGAGTTTTCGGTTTCAGAACAGGTGATAACACTTAGTTCAATCAACTCTGAGTCAAGATAACCCTGAGTGAAGCCCGTGCATGAGGATATAAAAAGCCCTCATCAGTGGAACACAGATAACATGATTCACCATGGCAACAAGTTACAAAAAGCCTCGATCCTCCTACTTCTCCCCAGTGGAGTTGGAAATATTAATGACCGCATTTGCAGAAAGTGAGCATATATCTTTTTTAAAAAGCAATACTGTGGCAGCAGCAAAACAGCGGGAGCTCGCGTGGCAGAAAATTGCTGACCGAGTCAATGCATGAGTGTTAATTGGAGAAAAAAAGAAATGTTTTGTCTTAAATGTTCCACTTACTCAACAGTTATATTTCATATGTGTGTTTGTGCGCACAGGTGCAACCCAACAGGCACCAAACAGACTTGGCAGCAACTAAAGATGAAATATAAAAATGTAGTTCAAACAGGTAAGGTATAATTTAAGTACAAGCAATTGTGATGTTGTTTAGCCTGCCCTCATTAAACAGCATTTACTGGCTACATTCAACATGTGACAGATATATTTAAGTAATTAGGGAAATCTGCTAAACAAAGAAATCCCAACACTGCTAGTATTTAATATTGTCTACATGAAAGCAACACCTAAATACCTTTTATACATACAAGTCTCCAAATGTGTGTTTTCTGGATATGTTTAAATTTGACCTCCATTATAGCCGACAGAAAAAAGGCTGAGGCCCGCAAAGCAGGTGGCGGTCCACCACCACCTCTCAGAGGCTGAAGAGATGGCCCTCAGTCAGAACAGTGGGCGACCCATTGCTGAGGGCATCTCTGGGGGGGAGCTCATCGGACCCAGCCACGGCCCAGGACACGGGCCTACATAAGAGGTAAGTTATTCAAATGAATGGCATGTACATGAATCCTTTCTCTAGTGTTCGCTCAGTAATGGCCACCCATTCATCTTAGACACAACTTGGCACACTGGTTTTTCTTGTAGCAGGAGGCTACAGTTCTTTGTAATTGGCTGCTGGTGCTTTCAGATATCAATCTATTTTAAGGTGACTCAGAGTTTGAAAGATTGTGATGGGACCTGCACACTATTGTAAAAAAAATTAAATTAGGTGGGGCACTTTTCTGGGTAATCATTCAACTGTCTAATCTTCATCTTCTACCAGTTACTGATGGTGTAATCTGTCTCGTGGAGGCTTCTGCCATAACAGACCTCCATGCTGTTGTAAGTACTCTTAATATTCCACAGATTTGTCATAATGGGTAGAATATAACACAATCATTCTGTTTCATTACAGGAGGATGATGAAGACACCTTAACAGCTGCCACAGAGGGAAGATGCAGAGAGGCCTGTTGAGGTTTACACCTTTTTTTTTTTTAAATAACTTTGGTTTCAGTTAATGGGGTTGTTCCACAATACAACTTGCAACTTCTTTCTCTCTAACAGAGCAATGTTGGAAATTACAATGAGGAAGAAGGTCCATCAACCTCCACAGCACAGCTTACCTCAGTAAGATGTTGTTCAGCATTGACCCACAACTTACAATGGTACTGTGAAATTCAACGTCATTTCTGTTCCTATAGCTCCCTGTGAAACAACTCTACAAGGTATATTTACAATCACAAATCACATCTAGAAATGGAACATATAAGGCTGCAGATCACCAAGACAAAAATGGAAATACAACTGCTGGACCATCAGTTAAAGGTGGGTGACGTGCCCACAGGCGGATGATTTTTAATTGTTTCAACAACAAAGGATTAACAACTGTACAACATTTGTCCTTCTAGGAAATAAAGAAGAGCTCATAAAATGAGAGGCATATTGTCGTTCTTTGACACTGGGGAGGTGATGGGTCAGTTAGAAATGATTGAAGCATATCATGTCTCTAACAGCTCTTCCATCTCGTGCATCGGGGGGGGTCAGGATTATTATCTGGATCATTGGGGCAAAGAGTAGGACATTGTTCTCCTCTAATAGTGGCAATGTTGTGGAGAACCACGCATGTCACAAGCCCTTTCTGGAGTGACCCTGAGCCTACGAAGGCACTGGAACCGGGCCTTGAGTATCCCGATGGTCAACTCCACTCTGGCTTGTGTCCTGCAGTGAGCCAAGTTGTAGTGTTGCTGTGGGCCAGGCTCAGGGTCAGGGTAAGGAGTCAGAAGATAGCGCTGGCAGGGGTACCCTCTGTCTCCGAGTAGGTAACCATCGAACTCTCCTATGATAATACAACATACAGTTTAATGTTTCAGTTGCAATAGGAGGAAGCAAAATATTGTTCATAGGATATAGCTATATACTGTATATAAACTCACCACGGGCAAATCTGGCACTCAGTGTAGACTCGCGAAACACTTGTGAGTCATGCACAGACCCAGGCCACTTCGCTTCCACATTGTTTATCATGTGGGCTGCATCACATATGGTCTTCACAGTGGAGAGCAGTAATTAGCTGTATAGTGAAGTATATTTCGTTTGGAATGTTAAAGGCTACTATTCAGGCCTACCTGTACATTAATGCTGTGGACAGATCTCCTATTCACATAATCTCCTTCATTTATTGAAGGAGCTGTGATAGGAATGTGAGTGCCATCTATGCAGCCAATCACACCTGGAAACCCTCAAATATATCAGATTGACTGACTAGTGCTTCAAGTCTCAAAGCTTTATGACATACATTAATTATTGCTTAGACTGATACCTGCAATTCTGTGGAACTCTTCTGTGAGAAGTCTGTGACTTGGGAACACTACAAACATGTATAGTAGCCGTTTCAGTGCAAGTGTCACATTTCGGACAGCCCGACAGACAGTTGCCTTGGACACAAGCTCTGCATCACCGATGTTATACAAAAAACTGCCGTTGGCAAAAACAAAGCGCAATACAAAGAATTTGCTCGGAACTGAGAGCGTGTCCACGATGTGTCATGTGAACGATGTGAGGGCTGAGAATGTTGTTTAGATAAATTATTGATGATGCAGAGAAACGGAAACGCTCAAACAGGTACTCATCAGGGAATAATAAAACTTCCAATCGGGGTCCAATAATCCTCTCCCGACGGAGTATCTGCGCCTCGACATCAACTGGCTCTTCAAGACAAGGACACGCCATGTCTGCCACTGCCTTCAGTCTGCAGGCTTCAACTTAAGAGCAGGAGAAACTCAGGGTTAGTAGAAGAAAACCTGCCAGCGAGCAGGTTAGGTTCACGGAGTATGTTGCCAGGGTAACTGACTCAGAGTTAAGATGAACTGGCTTTGTGAAACCGAAAAACCAGAGTTTCCCTCATCTCAGGGTTAACTAACTCAGAGTTTTCACTAAACCTGCTTTCTGAAACGGGCCCCGGATCACTGGTGTTGTTGTTGTTGTTGTTGTTGTTGACGTCAGGCTCTGCAGCGATTGGTCCTTTACCAGCAGCAGAAACTGACTAAACGCCGTCAGACTCACATTAACTCTCCTGCAGCAGCTTCTTAATTATCCCCTGAGGACGCCACGTTGGACACGTTAAAGACAGAAACTCCTTTTAATCAGCTGATGGACGAGATGATGTTTGATTCCCTATCAGACGCATCAGACTGACGCTGTGTCCCGCTCATGTCCGTCCGTCGGTCCGTCCACTCGGGGGCTGATTGGAGAAGTTTTGTGATCAGTTCGTCTGCTAAAAGTAAATTAAACACTTATTAAATATTATTGGTTCCAACAGAAGAAATCATTTCTTTCGTTCTTTAATGGAGCTTTTTACAACACGCTGTTAAATGTTATTTTCTGTCAAACTGCAGATTATTTGTTTCATTTAACAAATAAATAAACAATCAATGATTTATTGAACAGATACAAACACTGATTACTGTAAAATATCAATATGTTCGGATCAAACAGTTTGACTGTTTACACAAGAGCTCACAGATTAATGCAGCCTGTGGCTCCACCTGCTGCCTGATACTGGTTCTGGTACTGTACTGTACTGGTACTACTGATACTGGTACTGATACTGATACTGATAATGGTACTGGTACTGGTACAACTGGTACTGGTACTGATACTGATAATGGTACTGATACTGATACTGATACTGATACTGGTCCTGGTACAACTGGTACTGGTATTGATAATGGTACTGGTACTGGTACTGGTACTGGTACTGATAATGGTACTGGTACTGGTACTGATACTACTGGTACTGGTACTGGTACTGATACTGATACTGATACTGGTACTGGTACTGATACTGATACTGATAATGGTACTGATACTGATACTGATACTGATACCGGTCCTGGTACAACTGGTACTGGTACTGATAATGGTACTGGTACTGGTACTGGTACTGATACTGTTACTGGTAATGGTGCTGGTACTGGTACTGTACTGGTACTGGTACTGATACTGGTACTGATAATGGTATTGGTATTGGTATTGGTACTGTACTGGTACTGATACTGGTACTGGTACTGATACTGATACTGATACTGATACTGGTACTGGTACCAATACCAATACTGATAATGGTTCTGGTACTGGTACTGGTACTGATACTGATACTGATACTGATAATGGTACTGGTACTGATACTGATACTGGTACTGGTTCTGGTACTGTACTGGTCCTGGTACTGGTACTGGTACTGGTACTGTACTGGTACTGATACTGGTACTGGTACTGATACTGATACTGGTACTGGTACTGGTTCTGGTACTGTACTGGTACTGGTACTGGTACTGGTACTGATACTGGTACTGGTACTGATACTGGTACTGGTACTGGTACTGGTTCTGGTACTGTACTGGTCCTGGTACTGTACTGATACTGGTACTGGAACTGATACTGGTACTGGTACTGGTACTGGTACTGGTACTGGTTCTGGTACTGTACTGGTCCTGGTACTGGTACTGGTACTGATACTGGTACTGGTACTGATACTGATACTGATACTGATACTGGTACTGGTACTGGTCCTGGTACTGTACTGGTACTGATACTGATACTGATACTGGTACTGATAATGGTACTGGTACTGGTACTGATACTGGTTCTGGTACTGTACTGGTCCTGGTACTGTACTGATACTGATACTGATACTGATAATGGTACTGGTACTGGTACTGATACTGGTACTGGTACTGGTTCTGGTACTGTACTGGTCCTGGTACTGTACTGGTACTGATACTGGTACTGATACTGGTACTGGTACTGATACTGATACTGGTACTGGTACTGGTCCTGGTACTGTACTGGTACTGATACTGATACTGATACTGGTACTGATAATGGTACTGGTACTGGTACTGATACTGATACTGGTACTGATACTGGTACTGATACTGATACTGGTAATGATACTGATACTGATACTGATAATGGTAATAATAACTATATTAATATATAGTCTGTTACAGTGTCAGGAACCGTACAGGTCCACCTACAGTCTGGTCCTCACTCTTCCTCAGTCTGTCCTCACTCTTCCTCACTCTGGTCCTCAGTCCTCCACAGTCTGTCCTCTACTCTTCCTCTGGAGCAGTACTGATACTGGTACTGATACTGATACTGATACTGATACTGATACTGATAATGGTAATAATAACTATATTAATATATATCTATAAACATATATATCTCTCACAGTGTCAGGAACCTACAGCACCACCACAGTCTTCCTCACTCTTCCTCACTCTTCCTCAGTCTTCCTCACTCTTCCTCACTCTTCCTCAGTCCTCCACAGTCTTCCTCACTCTTCCTCAGTCCTCCACAGTCTTCCTCACTCTTCCTCTGGAGCAGATCTGATCTCCTGCAGCTCAGAGATGTTCTTCCTTAGAGCCTCAGTCTTTATACGGAGCTTCTGTCAGATCACAGACTCTGAATGAAACTGTTCCTGACACATTTATTATTATTATTATTATTATTGTTATTATTATTATTATTATATTTATATTTATTATTATTGTTATTATTATTATTATTATTCTATAATCTTTATTAAAGTGTGACCCTGTACAGTCGCACCAACTACATTCAAAGTCAAACAAACTCAACAATAAATTAAGAGTTGATCATTTCCTGTGAAGATAAAATGTTCCTTTATTGATCGGCACAGGAAGAAAATAATTTACAATCCAACAAACACAATAAAGTATATATACAGTAAAATAATATAACAATAATAATGGAACCAGATTTCTATAATTATACAATTATATAAATGTTTTTGGTCATTTTAACAATCAGACTTAATATTCTCATTGTTCTATCAGCTGTTTGGTTTCTGAAGCAGGACGAGACTGAAGTTCTGTCAGTAATATAGTAATGCATCTATAATAATAATAATATACACTGTATTATACACTGCAGGCCTCAGACAGATTTATTATTATTAAAATGTATTAAATGAACTTCATTCATACCCATATAAACAGTACAACAAACACTAAAAGCTTCTATCAATAAAGTTCTGAAACTGAGCCTTTTTAGTTTTTATTAAGTCCCAGAAACGTAAAGAGAAACTAAATATTTGTGGAACTTATTAGAACTGTTTGAGCTTGATCGCTGTTATTGATTAATTATAGATTCAAACCTGTGATTGTGTTTCAGGTCGTATTTCCTCCACACAGGGAGGTTGTATCTGTTTGTATAATAAATATATGATAGAACCGCTATATGTTCTTTTATTGTCTAACGTTGGTGATCATTGGTTGCAGCTCTGAGGTCCTGCTGCTGATATATAGACAGAGTTAATCAGAGTTAATGGTGACATTTCAATATTCTCAATATACAGAAAACATTTATTTCTTTGTCTCTTAATGTTCGATGCTGATGGTGGTTAACAGATAAAAGTGTTTTTTTAAAGTTCTGAAGGTGGTTTGAAATACAGTCCTGCAGCGCCACCTGGTGGATAAAATACAGTCCTGCAGCGCCACCTGGTGGATAAAATACAGTCCTGCAGCGCCACCTGGTGGATAAAATACAGTCCTGCAGCGCCACCTGGTGGATAAAACCAAACACATTAAAAAGTTCTTGTGTGAGAAAATCTAATTTAATTCAATGCTGCAAAACAGTGAAACTCCACTGATACTGCAGCCCCACTGAGGGGGACAAACGTGAGAATAAAGTCGTCATATTCTGGCAAAAAGATCATTTATGAGAATTAAAAAGAAAATATACATTAAAAAAACATGTACAACAATGTGAATATACAGTTCAGTAGCTCAGTGTCTAGGGACTTGGCTTGGGAACTGGAGGGTCGCCAGTTCAAATCCCACAGACCACAATATGGAGTGTGGACTGGTAGCTGGAGAGGTGCCAGTTTCACCTCCTGTGTACTGCCGAGGTGCCCTAGAGCAAGGCAACCTCACCCAAAGCCTGCTCATGGGGAGCTGTTAATGTTGCAGCCCCATCTCTCTTCCTGTTTGCATGTCCACAAGTGCATGAAGTGTGTATTTCAGCCTGTGTGTGTGTGTGTGTTTGTGTGTGTATAAAGAACAGTGAAAAGAACAACTTCCCCTAGGGGATCAATAAAGTGTTTCTTCTTCTTCTTCTTCAATGTCCATTTCATTTTGATTTATTGTAGTTATTATTTTGCTACCTGTTTGACACTCACACCTACAGACAGCTTACAGGCACCAACCAGCATGTGTTAATATATATACTGTATATATATTTATATCTTATATACAATATATTTATATATTATATACACTGTATATATATTTATATACAGTGTATATAAGATATAAATATATATACAGTCAATGGAGGAAACTGGAGCTTTGAACCCACAACCTTCATGGTTTGATGGTTCAATGATATTAATTATTATTATCAGTTATAATTAAGGACCATTACAGGAGTGAAAACTGTGATCAAATTTTATTTTAAAGGAAAAATACATATAGGTATATACATGTTACAAAAATAGAGCATAAAATATATATTCACATACATACCTATAAATATGCATATTTACAGCTACATATGATTAAACAACCAAGATAAAACAATAAAAATAAAAATAAATAAATAAAACCCCAAATATAACCCACCCACCCCCTGGATCCAGAACTCCATATCTCAGTCACATATTACATCTGAAACCCATGGAGGATAGTTAAGAGTGAATGCCAAGCCTCTATTGCTGACTCTTTGCTGTCGACAACTCCAAATAAATAATATCCAAATATGTTAAAACCCAAGCTCGAAAGAGAGTGAATGTGGAGGTTTCCAACGTGTGGCAACTAGTTTTTTTGCAGCCGTAAGTCCAGCCAACAATGCTCTTCTAACAGAAGAGTTTTCTTTTTTGTTGAACAAACTCTTTATTCTAACGATATAATATTAGATAATAATATTTTACACAAATAAAGTAGAATTTAGTATCAGAACACAGACGACTTTTATAACATACAGCCCTCATTACATTCTTTATTTATTTATTGTTATTATACTGTAATGGACACCAGACACACATATATATATGTGTTTATAAAATAACATAAAAAATACAGTTATACAATAAACAGATGTTTAGTATTTAGAGTTTTATGGCTTTGGGTTCATAGTGCTGAATAGTTTGTATCTATTGTTTTATTTCATTTATAAAAACAAATAAGGTAATAAAATTGACTTTTGTGAATTTATATCATACAATATTATATTGTTATTATTATAATATTATATTGTGGATCTGTTTATGACATTTAAAGTATCAGATGTAATGTAATGTTATGTGGCGGTGTCTCCTCCACAGCCGCAGGTGGCGCTGCTGCAGCTGCTCTGCGTTTAACAACCGTTATATGAACCCACGAAGAAGAACTCCTCCCAGTCAGTCAGTTAGCTGTTAGCTTGTTGTCACAAACAGATCGATAATCAGTTCTCCTCGATACAAACATCGTTATTAGCTTTATATCTTCCGTTTGCTTCACTCAAGGTAAGTTCGCTGTGTGTTTGTGCTAATGCTAAGCTACTGCTGTTAGCCGCTTTCTGCAGTTTCGATAAAGAGGCTCCGCAGTGACGTCATGTGATAATCAATACAAAACCGTATTTACCGATCAATAACTGATAGTGTTTATAGTGAGCTACCGGTAATAACGTTACATCAGTGCGGGTCAGTAGGAACTGATTACTCAGTGTCAGTAACTGTACTCAGTAACTGTAACTGTAACTGTAACTGTTCTCAGTAACTGTAACTGTAACTGTAACTGTTCTCAGTAACTGTAACTGTAACTGTACTCAGTGTCAGTAACTGTAACTGTACTCAGTGTCAGTAACTGTACTCAGTGTCAGTAACTGTAACTGTACTCAGTAACTGTAACTGTACTCAGTGTCAGTAACTGTACTCAGTGTCAGTAACTGTAACTGTACTCAGTAACTGTACTCAGTAACTGTAACTGTAACTGTACTCAGTGTCAGTAACTGTACTCAGTAACTGTAACTGTACTCAGTAACTGTACTCAGTGTCAGTAACTGTAACTGTACTCAGTAACTGTAACTGTACTCAGTAACTGTAACTGTACTCAGTAACTGTAACTGTACTCAGTAACTAAGTCAGTAACTGTAACTGTACTCAGTGTCAGTAACTGTACTCAGTGACTGTAACTGTACTCAGTAACTGTAACTGTACATGTCAGTAACTGTTCTCAGTAACTGTAACTGTAACTGTACTCAGTAACTGTAACTGTACTCAGTAACTGTACTCAGTAACTGTAACTGTAACTGTACTCAGTAACTGTACTCAGTAACTGTACTCAGTAACTGTAACTGTACTCAGTGTCAGTAACTGTACTCAGTAACTGTAATGTACTCAGTAACTGTAACTGTAGTCAGTAACTGTAATTACTCAGTAACTGTAACTGTAACTGTACTCAGTAGTCACGTAACTGTACTCAGTGTCAGTAACTGTAACTGTACTCAGTAACTGTAGTCAGTAACTGTAACTGTACTCAGTGTCAGTAACTGTACTCAGTAAGTAAGTACAGTAACTGTAACTGTACTCAGTAACTGTAACTGTACTCAGTTACTGTAACTGTACTCAGTAACTGTAACTGTACTCAGTAACTGTACTCAGTATCAGTAACTGTAACTGTACTCAGTAACTGTAACTGTAACTGTACTCAGTGTCAGTAACTGTACTCAGTGTCAGTAACTGTACTCAGTAACTGTAACTGTACTCAGTAACTAACTGTAACTGTACTCAGTGTCAGTAACTGTACTCAGTGTCAGTAACTGTACTCAGTAACTGTAACTGTACTCAGTAACTGTAACTGTAACTGTACTCAGTGTCAGTAACTGTACTCAGTGACAGTGTCAGTAACTGTACTCAGTGTCAGTAACTGTAACTGTACTCAGTAACTGTAACTGTAACTGTACTCAGTAACTGTACTCAGTAACTGTAACTGTACTCAGTAACTGTAACTGTACTCAGTGTCAGTAACTGTACTCAGTGTCAGTAACTGTACTCAGTAACTGTAACTGTACTCAGTAACTGTAACTGTACTCAGTAACTGTAACTGTAACTGTACTCAGTAACTGTAACTGTACTCAGTGTCAGTAACTGTACTCAGTGTCAGTAACTGTACTCAGTAACTGTAACTGTACTCAGTGTCAGTAACTGTAACTGTACTCAGTTTAACTACCAGTAACTGTAACAGTACCAGTTACTGTAACTGTAACTGTACTCAGTGTCAGTAACTGTAACTGTACTCAGTTACTGTAACTGTACTCAGTAACTGTAACTGTAACTGTACTCAGTTACTGTACTCAGTGTCAGTAACTGTAACTGTACTCAGTGTCAGTAACTGTACTCAGTGTCAGTAACTGTAACTGTACTCAGTGTCAGTAACTAACTGTACTCAGTTACTGTAACTGTACTCAGTAACTGTAACAGTACTCAGTTACTGTAACTGTTCTCAGTAACTAACTAACTGTTCTCAGTGTCAGTAACTGTACTCAGTAACTGTAACTGTTCTCAGTAACTGTAACTGTACTCAGTAACTGTAACTAACTGTAACTGTACTCAGTGTCAGTAACTGTAACTAACTGTTCTCAGTGTCAGTAACTGTAACTGTAACTGTACTCAGTGTCAGTAACTGTAACTGTAACTGTAACTGTACTCAGTAACTGTACTCAGTGTCAGTAACTGTACTCAGTAACTGTACTCAGTAACTGTAACTGTACTCAGTAACTGTACTCAGTGTCAGTAAGTGTACTCAGTGTCTGTAACTGTACTCAGTAACTGTACTCAGTAACTGTACTCAGTGTCAGTAAGTGTACTCAGTAACTGTACTCAGTAACTGTACTCAGTGTCAGTAACTGTACTCAGTAACTGTAACTGTACTCAGTGTCAGTAACTGTACTCAGTAACTGTACTCAGTAACTGTACTCAGTAACTGTACTCAGTAACTGTAACTGTACTCAGTGTCAGTACTCAGTGTCAGTAACTGTACTCAGTGTCAGTACTCAGTAACTGTAACTGTACTCAGTAACTGTACTCAGTGTCAGTAAGTGTACTCAGTGTCTGTAACTGTACTCAGTAACTGTACTCAGTAACTGCACTCAGTGTCAGTAACTGTACTCAGTAACTGTACTCAGTAACTGTACTCAGTGTCAGTAACTGTACTCAGTAACTGTAACTGTACTCAGTGTCAGTAACTGTACTCAGTAACTGTACTCAGTAACTGTACTCAGTAACTGTAACTGTACTCAGTGTCAGTACTCAGTGTCAGTAACTGTACTCAGTAACTGTACTCAGTAACTGTAACTGTACTCAGTGTCAGTAACTGTACTCAGTGTCAGTAACTGTACTCAGTAACTGTAACTGTGTGTAGAGTAGAAACAGTAGAAATAAACAGTTATTATTTACTACTAACGAAGCCCAAACAATGCTATTATAAGCTAATATGCTAATATTTGAGCTAATATTGTCGACCCTAAATAATAATAACAGATGTTGTACTCCTTAAATAACTAAATATACACAGCGAGTAATAGAGTACTTTGTTACAGTGAACACAGTAATGGAGTACTTTCACTGACTCAAAGTGTTCATAGGACAGCTTTTGTGACTCTGTTGGACTGTGTTGGACTCTGTTGGACTGTATTGGACTCTGGTGGACTGTGACTCTGTTGGACTGTGTTGGACTGTGTTGGACTCTCGTGGACTGTGTTGGACTGTGTTGGACTCTGGTGGACTGTGTTGGACTGTGTTGGACTCTGGTGGACTGTGACTGTGTTGGACTGTGTTGGACTCTGTTGGACTCTGGTGGACTGTGACTCTGTTGGACTGTGTTGGACTCTGGTGGACTCTGGTGGACTGTGACTCTGTTGGACTCTGTTGGACTGTGTTGGACTCTGTTGGACTGTGTTGACCGGACTGTGTTGGACTCTGGTGGACTGTGACTCTGTTGGACTGTGTTGGACTCTGGTGGACTGTGACTCTGTTGGACTCTGGTGGACTGTGTTGGACTGTGTTGGACTCTGGTGGACTGTGACTCTGTTGGACTCTGTTGGACCCAGACTGGCTGTTGGTGGACTGCAGCAGTTCTCTGTGAGCTGAACGCGTCGGTATGGTAGACGGTAGTGGTCTCTGATCCGGTCTCTGTCCCTGTATATGATCTGGATGTGTGAGCGTTACAGCTCCACACCAACCGCACAGAGACACTGAAGACATTGATTATCTCAAACTAATAATCGGACGGATCAATCGATCTGTCAGCGGCAGACGATCACATTCATTGAACTGTGGGAACCTAAAGTGTTTAATAAAATAATAATAATAAATAGAGACCATCAGCATATCTGCAGGGAGCCATGTGGAGATTTATTGATCGGTTTTATTAGTGATTGATGACCTCCTTTAGCGTTCCATTCTTCTTCTGTGATGGAGCTCTGTACGTACTCTGACGTCCTTGCAGTGTTTCCTCTCAGGACCAACCGTCTCCGCTCAGATTTTACATTTCCTGTCTTCCCTGACACCTTCTGTCTGCAGAAAACGTCGCAAGCGTTTCTCCTCCCATCATGTCTCACAACTACCCGTACAGACGCCGGCTGTCTGACTCCTCCGATCTCAGACCCGATCCTGTACCTTACAGCTCTTCAGATCGCCACCACGCCTCGCCAGACTTTTACAGGCCGCCTCAGGAGTCCTTCTCCGCATCGTCATCCTCCGCCTCCTCCAGAGGAACTCAGTGGAACCAGGACGGCGCCCTCAGCATCCTGAGCAGCTGCGGTCTGGAGCCCAGCGACCTGGCTCTGCTGGCCGAGCTGCCCGAAGACGTCCTCACCATCGAGTCCCTGCCTCAAGTCCTCAACCAGATCAAAGGAAAGAGGGGCACCATCAAACCTTTCCTTTCCAGCACTCATTCTTCCTCCTCTTCCTCCCCTTACCCTCACAGCTCTGCACATCGACCCGCCTCTAACCCCTCCTTCTCCTCCTCATCCTGGGATCATCCTCACAACCAGCCCATCCAGTACCCGCTGGACCAGGTAACTCCCAGTCCTCTTTCAGCTGACACAGACCGCTGGGGGAATCCCAGGACCAGCACCTGTGTCAGAGCAGACCCACCATCATCTTCATCTTCCAGCTACGGGGTGGACTTCCACCACAGATCCAGACCCTCTGAGTATGGTAAGACAGGCAGAGACACCGGTCTTGTTTCCTCTCAGGATTTTAACCACAGACCAGGACCCTCTGAGTATGGTAAGACATGCGGAGACACTGGTCTGGTCTCCTCTCAGGACTTTAACCACAGACCAGGACCCTCTGAGTATGGTAAGACAGGCAGAGACCCCGGTCCGGTCTCCTCTCAGGACCGAAGCAAAAGAACTCGTCCTTCCCGTTTCTCTCAGCCGGGACCAGCTGATTACAGGTCTGCTCCTCTTCCTGACGCAAACCATACGAGAACCTGCGGGGGACATCGTGAGTCCGAGACCTTTTCTGTCAGGAGCCGACCGGCCGCCTTGATGCCCTCCAACAAAGAAGCTCTGGACTTCCACGGGACGTCTCCGCCGGTGTTCCCGTACTCGTGCTCTTTGTGTGATATCACTGTGATGTCAGAGAAGGTAAGTACACCTGTCCTCCTCCTCGAGTCTTTTTCTCCACAGTCTGATTGGAGTCTTGCAGGATGGGGGTCCTGCAGGGCAGTGTCAGGTAGGAACTGGAGTGTGACAGTTGTTGATGCTTCTTACTCTTCTGTTTCAGGTGTGGATCAAACATATAAACGGCACTCAGCATGCAGACGGACAGCTCAGCTTGCTGCAGCAGTAAGTCCCTCTGCACTCAACACTTAGGACCAGGTCCCTCACCCAGCGTGGGGAAGGTTGGGAGGAATAAAACCCACCAACAACCAGTTTAACAATGAGTGTGTGTGAGTTCAGTGTTTGAGGTTTTAGGTTGGTTTTAACTCTGTAACGTCTCTCTGCAGATTTCCTAACTGGGACTGTCGCATGGAGACAATCAGCAGGTCAGTGTCATACATCACTATAACCAGGAATCTAGAACACAACCATAACCTTAACAATAACAACCAGAACACAACCAGAACCTTAACAATAATAACCAGAACACAACCATAACCTCTACAATAATCAGAACACAAACATAACCTCTACAGTAACAACCAAAACACAACCATAACCTTAACAATAACAACTACAACACAACCATAACCTCTACAGTAACAACCAAAACACAACCATAACCTTAACAATAACAACCAGAACACAACCATAACCCCTACAATAGTCAGAACACAACCATAACCTCTACAATAGTCAGAACTAGGGATGCACCGATCCACATTTTTTCACTTCCGATCCGATACCTGAATTTGGATATCGGCCGATACCGATACTATTCCGATACCAGAGCTCTGTTTGCTTTAATATTATTATTATCATTATTGTTGATTTTATATGAGGCTGAAATAAACTCCTCTCACCAGGCAAGTATGATCTGTACGTATGTATGCATGTATGTCCCAAAAGGAAACTTGAGGTAAGTATAAGGTCAGAAAAGGAAGTCAGAAAAACAGGAAATCCTGTTAACAGGAAAAATCCCATCCTGAAAACAAATATGCAACTGTAAGGGTTTCAAATTGATTGTCATGTCAATATTTATTAAATTCCCAAAATGTCAAATAATTGAAATATAAGGAAAGTGCAATAAGTGTAAACATCTTACACACACACACACACACACACACACACACACTAATCCCTTTAGCTTTCCCATTGTCTGCCTGGAGTTTACCGTGTTTTTGGAATGACTCTAGAAGTGATTCCTGACAGCTCGTTTTGTCTTTCTACCCCTGCTCTTCTTCTTCTTCATATGGATTTCTGGCAGTTGAGACACTTCTAGGCGTATTACTGCCCTCCTCAGGAAGTCACTCTAAGGATAATGTTACTGCTTCAAATTTTCATATGTAGCCCTGTATTGTGTAAGAACTGTAATACTACTTTAACAATCAAGTGGTGGTTCTCATTTTGACCCAATAATCCTCGTGCTTTTTCGTGTGGTGCTTTTTTAAATGTTTGATTGTGTTCGTAGTGTTGTACGACGTGAGGGAGCTTCCGCGTCTCTGTATCACGGCTTTGCTAGCTGGCTGCCAACTGCTGAATGGTTTTCCTGAGCGGAGGCGTGTCTCATTGAGCCGCGCCTCCGTTCAGGAAATCCATTCCACAGTTGGCAGCCAGCTAGCAGACTGGCCGGCAGGAATCACTTGTGGAGTAATTTCAGCAGACAACGTTAAAGCGCACACATGGCTCATTGATATCGGATATGTCCGCAGGTTGGATCGGGAAAATCCGATATGTGAATTACGCTGGTATCGGTCCCGATACTGATACTGGATCGGATCGGCCCCATCCCTAGTCAGAACACCACCATAACCTTAACAATTCCAACCAGAACACAACATACCCTTAACAATAATAACCAGAACACAACCATAACCTCTACAATAATCAGAACACAACCATAACCTCCATAGTAACAACCAAAACACAACCATAACCTTAACAATAACAACCAGAACACAACCATAACCTTAACAATAACAACCAGAACACAATCATAACCTTAACAATAACAACCACAACACAACCAGAGCCTCTACAATAACAACCAGAACACAACCATAACCATAACAATAATAACCAGAACACAACCATAACCTCTACAATAACAACCAGAACACAACCATAACCTCTACAATAGTTAGAACACAACCATAACCTTAACAATAACAACCAGAACACAACCAGAACCATAACAATAACAACCAGAACCCAACCAGAACCTTAACAATAACAACCAGAACCCAACCATAACCCTAACAATAACAACCAGAACCCAACCATAACCTTAACAATAACAACCAGAACGCAACCATAACCTTAACAATAACAACCAGAACACAACCATAACCTGAACAATAACAACCAGTACACAACCATAACCTCTACAATAGTCAGAACACAACCGTAACCTTAACAATAACAACCAGAACACAACTGTAACCATAACAATGACAACCAGAACACAACTGTAACCAGAACAATAACAACCAGAACACAACCATAACCTTAACAATAACAACCAGAACACAACCATAACCTCTACAATAATAACCAGAACACAACTGTAACCTTAACAATAACAACCAGAACACAACTGTAACCATAACAATGACAATCAGAACACAACTGTAACCATAACAATAACAACCAGAACACAACCAGAGCCTCTACAATAACAACCAGAACACAACCATAACCATAACAATAATAACCAGAACACAACCATAACCTCTACAATAACAACCAGAACACAACCCTAACCTCTACAATAAAAGAACCAGAACACAACCATTACCTCTACAATAACCATAACACAACCATAACTTCTACAATAATAACCAGAACACAACCATAACCTTAACAATAACAACCAGAACACAACCATAACCTTAACAATAACAACCAGAACACAAACATAACCTTAACAATAACAACCAGAACACAAACATAACCTTAACAATAACAACCAGAACACAAACATAACCTTAACAATGAAAGAACCAGAACCCAACCATTGCTCTTTGCTGTCTTCATTATGATGGTTTCTTGTTATCTTTAGTTTTGAAGTTTTAATGAACGGATCAATAATACAATCAGTGCTCTGGTTTCAGGGCTGACAGCCAACCAGAAAGAGGGAAGGATGAAGGAAACTCGGGTCGGCAGCCCCAGACAGCCAATCACAACTCCAGTAATGAACCTTATTGTCCTGTGTGTGTTTGTAACGCCATCCTCCTGATTGCTGCTAACATCTGTTGTTTCGTGTCTTTAACAGAGCAACCACCAAACATACAGCCTCATAAGAAGGTAAAGCAGTCAGAATGAAAGCATTAACGTTTATTTCTGCTCCCGTACCAACGGGATCTAATATCTAATATCAGAACTATCTCGTCCCCGTCAGGCCTCAGAGAAAGCTAAAAGTAAAGTGGTGTGTGTCAAGTTTCCGGCTCAGTCTGTGGATGAGGCGTACCTGAGGAAACTGACCGAGCCGTTCGGAAAGATTGTCAAGATCCTCATGTTCCCGTCGTTAGTGAGTCCACGTGCTTCGTCACACACCAAACGCCATCCAGTGTTTCATATATCGTCCATCCAGCAGACTGGATACTCTGTGTTGACAATGAGTGTGTGTGTGTGTGTGTGTGTGTGTGTGTGAACCCTGCAGGCGTTCGTGGAGCTGGGATCCATCGATCAGGCGAAGGACTTAGTGAAGTTCCACGTCAACTATCCTCCAACTGTAAATGGAGAGCAGATAGAGTTCAGGCTGTCCAACACTTTCAGCTTCCTCCAGGTAGACATTCATCCAAGCAGCCGCTCTCTGTAACTGATCAACAGGCACCAGGTGCCTCTAGAGGCCCATATATGGGCACATTACAGCACACTGCCCCCTACAGGAGGGAATCGTGGAGTAAATGAAGTGAAGAATGAAGTTTTTTTGTCTCCTCTCAGAGTTCTCGGGTGGTGAGTTTCACTCCGGCTCCGTCGGGAGAGAACGGCCAATCAGATCTGATCAGCATCGTCAAACGCTTCGGCGAGCCGCTCTACACCCTGTTCCTGCCGTCTAAGGTGAGACATTCTGAACTGTTGTGGTTCTGGTCAGTCCAGCTCAGACCTGATACAACCCGACCCGCCGCCAAGTCGGGTCAGCCTCAGACAGGTTTGTGTGTGGAAGTTAAAGACGGAAATCTTATGAAATGGTTTCTGTTTTGTACAGTATGATTGTGACATTGGCTGATGTAAGTGCAGAACACCTAAATAAAATCAATCAATCGATCAATTCAATTCAATTCAATTTTATTTGTATAGCGCCAATTCATAACAGCTTATCTCAGAACACTTTTCAAATAGAGTAGGTCTAGACCGAACTCTTTAAAACATTTAAAGAGACCCAACAGTACCACCATGAGCAAGCACTTGGCGACAAGGGCAAGGAAAAACTGCCTGTTAAAAGGCAGAAACCTAGGACAGAGCCTTCGGTTCTAGGTGGGTGGTTGTCTGCCTCGACCAGTTGGGGTGAGAGAGAGAGAGAGGCAGAGAGAGAGAGAGCGAGAGACAGACAGACAGATGCACAGCAACAACAGTATTGGCAATGGCAATCTAGCAGGACCATGGCAGGAGGCTCCACCAGGATCGACAAGGACCTGCGAGACGAGAAAGCACAAGAACTCCGGGGAAGAAGTGAAGTTAGTAACATGCATTAATGGGACATGAATGAGTGCAGAAAGAGAGAGGAAGGGAGGAGCTCAGTGCACCATGGGAAATCCCCTGATAGTCTAGGCCTATAGCAGCATAACTAAGGGACTCACCTGATCCAGCCCTAACTATAATCTTTATCAAAGAGGAATGTCTTAAGCCTACACTTGAATTTGGTGAGGGTGTCTGCCTCCCGAACCACAAATGGAAGCTGGTTCCACAGGAGAGGAGCTTGGTAACTGAAGGCTCTGGCTCCTGTTCTACTTTTAGAGACTATAGGAACCAAAAGTAGCCCAGCATTCAGTGAACGTAGTGTTCTAGAGGGGTAATAGGGTACTATGAGCTCTTTAAGATATGAAGGGGCCTGACCATGAAGAGCTTTATAGGTGAGGAGGAGGATTTTAAATTCTATTCTACATTTTACAGGGAGCCAATGCAGAGAAGCTAGTAGAGGAGCGATGTGATCTCTTTTTCTAGTTCCTGTCAGTACTCGTGCTGCAGCGTTCTGAATTAATTGGAGCGTTTGAATGGACTTAGTGGGGCAACCTGATAATAAAGAGTTGCAGTAATCCAGCCTTGAAGTAACAAATGCATGGATTAGTTTTTCTGCATCTGTCTGTGATAGGATGTGTCTAATTTTTCTAATATTACGTAAATGAAAGAAGGCAGTCCTAGAGGTCTGCTTTATGTGGGAGTTAAATGACAAATCCTGATCAAAGATAACTCCAAGATTCCTGACAGTGGTGCTAGAGGCCACGTTAATGCCATCTAGAGTAACTATATCTTTAAACAGTGAGTCTCTAAGGTTTTTGGGGCCAAGAACAAGAATTTCGTTTTTTTCTGAGTTTAACATCAGAAAATTGCAGATCATCCAGGATTTTATGTCCTTAAGACATGTTTGTAATTTAGATAATTGATTAATTTCATCGGGCTTGATTGATAGATATAACTGCGTATCATCTGCATAACAGTGAAAGTTAATGGAGTGATTCCTAATAATGTTGCCTAAAGGGAGCATATATAAAGTAAATAGTATTGGTCCAAGTACAGAACCTTGTGGAACTCCATGACTAACTGTAGTATTTATTGAAGATTCATCGTTAACATGTACAAACTGCGAGCGATCTGATAAATATGACTTAAACCAGCTTAGTGCGGTTCCTTTAATGCCAATTTGATGCTCAAGTCTCTGTAAAAGAATATCATGGTCAATGGTGTCAAATGCAGCACTAAGATCTAATAATACAAGTACAGAGACAAGTCCATTGTCAGAAGCAGTCAGAAGGTCATTATTAACTTTAACCAGAGCTGTCTCTGTGCTATAATGAACTCTAAATCCTGACTGAAAATCCTCAAATAAACTATTGTTATGTAGAAAGTCACACAACTCTTTGGCGACTACTTTCTACAGAATCTTAGAGAGGAAGGGGAGGTTAGAAATCGGTCTATAGTTGGCTAAAACCCCTGGGTCAAGAGTGGACTTTTTAAGAAGGAGTTTAATTGCAGCTACTTTAAAGGACTGTGGTACATATCCTGATAATAAAGAAAGATGAATCATATCCAGTAAAGAAGTGCCAATTAAGGGAACAACTTCTTTAAGCAGCCTAGTTGGGATCGGGTCTAATAGACAGGTTGATGGCTTCGATGAAGAAATGATTGAAGTTAACTGATGAAGATCGATAGCAGAAAAACAGTCTAAATATATATCAAAGTTTACATTGACAGAAGTCCCTGAACTTGGAGAGCCACTGATAACTGTTGATGGCAGTTGGTGATTCATTTTTTCTCTAATAGTAATAATTTTATTATAGAAGAAGCTCATGAAGTCATTGCTACTTAAGTTTATGGGGATATGTGGCTCAATAGAGCTGTGACTCTCTGTCAGCCTGGCTACAGTGCTGAAGAGGAACCTAGGGTTATTCTTATTTTCTTCTATTAGTGCTGAGTAATAGGCTCCTCTGGCATTACGGAGGGCCTTTCTATAAGTTTTAAGATTATCTTGCCAATTTGAGCGATATTCTGATAATAAACTGCGAACGATCTGATAAACATGACTTAAACCAGCTTAGTGCGGTTCCTTTAATGCCAATTTGATGCTCAAGTCTCTGTAAAAGAATATCATGGTCAATGGTGTCAAATGCAGCACTAAGATCTAATAATACAAGTACAGAGACAAGTCCATGTTCAATGGATTGAACAGTGTAAGATGAGCTGTATCTGTTTCTCAGGCGTTTGTGGAGATGAAAAACACTCCTGATGCTCAGAAGCTGGTGGATTATTATTCCTCCAACACTCTGAGGATCGACGGCGACTCCATCAAAGTTTCCTTCTCCGGAGAGTACAAGAGCCTCATGTGAGTACAGCGGACCGACCGGAGATTGATCAGCTGATTCTGATCCACCGATTATTGATCGCTTCCAATATTCCTTCTTTCTGTCCAGCAGGCGGGTCGCAGCGGCTAAAAAGTACCAAGAGGAGTCGACGAAGAGTTCCAGCCGAGAGAAAGAAGACAAGACAGCAGAACCCAAGCGGAGGAGCAGTAAAGACCGCGAAGAGTCCAGCAGAGAGAGGAAGACCAGAACCAGGTCTAGATCCAAAGATAAATCCAGCAGAGACAGGAGGACCAGAACCAGGTCCAGATCCAGAGAAAAGTCCTCAAAAGAGAAACCAGCAAGGTCCAGGTCCAGAGATAAATCCAGTAGAAACAGGAGGACCAGAACCAGGTCCAGAGAGAAATCTAGAGAAAAGTCCAGCAGAGAGAAGATGTCCAGGTCCAGAGGAACGGTGGTGGTACCAGAGAAAACGAAGCCGACGGGTAAGAAAACAACCTGAAGGTTTCAGTAAAAATGGGTCTGACACCTGGAGAGGGGGGCGGGGCCCTAACCCCGCGTACTGAAGCTGTGTGAGTGTTTACCAGCAGTCCAGGTTTGATTCCAACCTGTGGCCCTCTCTCCTTCTGTCTCTGACCTTCCTACCAGAGTCAGAGCGTCCGTAAACACTGACACCGCTGCTCTGTTCTACATGATGATTGTCTCTCCACAGTCACTGAGTCCAGGACTGATCCTGATCCAGTTTCTGATCCAGCTTCTGATCCAGCTCCTGATCCAGCTCCTGATCCAGCTCCTGATCCAGTTCCTAATCCAGCTCCTAATCCAGCTCCTGTCAGAGACTCCAAACCTGAAGCTGAAGAAGAAGAAGAAGAAGAAGAGATGGAGGAGGAAGACGAGTGAGTGTCTCATGTTTTTAAAATCAGTCTCACAGCTTCACTGTTGGTTTTCAGTCAGTCAGCTGAGTCCTCTCGTTCAGGTCGTCTGCAGACGAGAGCGACATCGAGGGGATGGAGGTGATTGGAGAGGATGTTGAGAACCTGGATGAGGAAGAGGAGGAGGAAGAGGAGGAAGCTGCAGAGAGAACAGACTCACCTGAAGGAGGTAGAAATGAAACCTGAGCTGCTGCTGGAGCAGAACACCAGGGACAGAATATAAAGAAAGTCTTCTGTCTGTTTCAGGTGAGGAGGAGGAGGTGAAGGATGAAGAGGCTGATGATCAGCAGGAGACCGTAATGGAGGAGGAGGAGGGAGCCATAAAAGAGGGAGAGGAGAAGGAGGTGTGTGGGATGAAGAAGGAGGAGGAAGAATCGGAGACGCAGCAGGAGAAGGACGAGGTGGAGACACAACTCGCTTATTTTAAAAACATTCCTAAAAGACATTTCCATGGTAACGCTCAGTTAGCATTTTATCCTGTGTGATAAAACCTCAGCACAGTTTTCTCTGCAGTGAACGCAGAAGTATGAAGTTATATATAGGACATTCACTGCAATGCCACCAGACGTCGCACTAGAGCACCAGCAGTACTGGACAGGGACCAAATAAAAGTCACCAGAACTGTCTTTTAGTCTGTCCAACCATCACCAATAATAATAATAATAATAATAATAAATCCATAATTCACTGACGTAGCTGATGTTAGGTACCAGGTAGAGTATAAAGAAGTGCAGGTTCAGGTGATCCAGATAGGGGGCGCTGTGTGTGTGTGTGTGTGTGTGTGTGTGTGTGTGTGTGTGTGTGTGTGTGTGTGTGTGTGTGTGTGTGTGTGTGTTACTCATTATCAACCACTGATACCGGTCTCCGTCCTCCTGTTGGTCTCCAGGAGGAACCAGGTTTCCCAGTGGACCTGGAGAACTGCATCACTCTGGATGAACTGGAGGAGGAGCAGTCTGAGGACCCAGGTACACCCAGACGGTCTATGAAGTCCTGATGATCATTAAATAATATTTCCTATGTTTCATTGATGTGAATGTGGTCTGTTGCAGATGAAGTCGGAGACGGAGACGGACCAGGAGAAGTAAGGAGGAACACTGAGTGTTTGCAGACTGGTTGTTGTTGTTGTTGTTGTTGGTTTTATGTTGAGTTCTGGTTTGTTTCCAATCTCAGTCCACCCGGGTGGTGTACTTCAGGAACCTCCCTCTGCGGTCATACAGCAACGCTGACTTCCTCAGGCTGGTGAGAGATTTTGGGACGGCGGTGCGGTACTTCCACAAACCTCCGAGCTGTGTGAGTTTGTCTTCCTGTCGGTCTCTGTGGTGGAGAGGAGGTTTACTGTGCGGTTCATAACTTTATTAACACTGTACAAACACACAACTTTATTATCACTGTACAAACACAACTTTATTAACACTGTACAACACAACTTTATTAACACTGTACAAACACAACTTTATTAACACTGTACAAACACACAACTTTATTATCACTGTACAAACACAACTTTATTAACACTGTACAATCACAACTTTATTAACACTGTACAAACACACAACTTTATTATCACTGTACAAACACACAACTTTATTATCACTGTACAAACACACAACTTTATTAACACTGTACAAACACACAACTTTATTAACACTGTACAATCACAACTTTATTAACACTGTACAAACACACAACTTTATTATCACTGTACAAACACACAACTTTATTAACACTGTACAAACACACAACTTTATTATCACTGTACAAACACACAACTTTATTAACACTGTACAATCACAACTTTATTAACACTGTACAAACACACAACTTTATTAACACTGTACAAACACACAACTTTATTATCACTGTACAAACACACAACTTTATTAACACTGTACAATCACAACTTTATTAACACTGTACAAACACACAACTCTATTATCACTGTACAAACACAACTTTATTAACCTTGTAAACAAACACAAACGCAGCTGCTGGACTGGATGACGTAACACAACTCCTTCTCTGACTGCCTGTTTTTACAGGAAATATGAGGAAGCTAACAGCTCTCTGATTCTGGTTCACCCGGACTGGAGAAAGGTGGGCTTATGGGTGACCTGAGTGTGTGCTGCGCTAGCTGTTAGCTGTTAGCGTGTTTTCGTTTGCAATTTTTTTTTTTTTTGCCGTCATGGAAAACGCTCAAAAGAGAAAATGTGATCAGATTGATGCAGTTTGACCTGCAGCTTCCAGCTCTGAAATGTCTGTGAGACCTCTTTATCCTTTATCCTGATTTCTTTCTTGTGGCAGCACACACACACAGTAACTGTTGTACTGCAACCTGAGCTCATCTACACACTGTGTGTCTGACTGCAGGAACCAAACTGCCCCTCTGCTAACATAAAGGTGCCAACAGAGAAATCTGGAGCTGCTGTTGATGTCCAGTGTGATCAGACTCTGGGAAACTCCTGTAGATAAATGAGGAAATCCTTTATTTTAGGGAAAAACGGCTCTCTTCCTCATCCTCAGTGTTTGTGTGTTTCAGGGTTTCATTGAGATGTCGTCATCCTCGGAGGCTCTGAGAGCCGTTAAAGAGCTGTGCAGGACACCCGTCACCTTCCACGGCTCCAGACTGGTCGCCCAGATCTCCAACAAGTACAGAAGACTCACAGATGGGTCAGAGTCCCCAAACTGTCACCTGTTTGATCCTGTTCACCCCGTTACACTGTCTGTGCTCATTTACCCAGAATCCCTGTCTTTACAGGTGGGAGGTTCAACCGGACCAGAACTCGGACGAGCGCAGGAGTCGAAGCAGCAGCAGGAGGAGCGAGAGACCAGACAGGGACGAGTCCAGCAGGAAGTCTGAGGGGGGAAAGGAGTCCTCAAAGCAGGCTCCAGAGAAGACTCAAAAGGAGTCCAATAAGAAGTCTTCAGAAAGGGAGTCCAGAGATTCTCCAAAGAGGAAATCATCAGAAAAAAAGACTCCAGAGGACAAGGAGAGTCTAAAAAGTGACCCCAAAAACATGGAACCAGACTGCAGAAACGAGTCACAGACCTCCAAAAAGAGTTGTTCGGAGAACGAGTCATATGACAATAAGAGTCTAGAAAATGACCCCAAAAATGTGTCGGAGACAATATCCAGAAAGTCTCCAGAAAAGGAATCAGTCAGCAAAGACGAGTCAGAAAACATCTCCAGAGTGACTCCAGAGAACGAGTCGTATGACAAAAAGAGTCGGGAAAAAAACCCCAAACACATGTCAGACAAGGACCTGGCTGCCAGAAACTCATCAGAAAAAACCTGCAGAACAACAGCAGAGTCGGCCAATAACAAGAGTCCAGAGAGAGAGTCCGAGTCCAGGAAGAGTCCAGAGAGAGAGTCCGAGTCCGAGAAGAGTCCAGAGAGAGAGTCCGAGTCCAGGAAGAGTCCAGAGAGAGGTCCGTCCGAGAAGAGTCCAGAGAAGAGTCCGAGTCCAGAGAGAGAGTCAGAGTCCGAGAAGAGTCCAGAGAGAGAGTCCGAGTCCGAGAAGAGTCCAGAGAGAGAGTCCGAGTCCAGGAAGAGTCCAGAGAGAGAGTCCGAGTCCAGGAAGAGTCCAGAGAGAGAGTCTGAGTCCGAGAAGAGTCCAGAGAAAGAATCTGAAACTAGGACGAGTCCAGAGAAGATGTTGAGAAAAAGAAGAGAGACTGGTGAGAAGGATTCGGTGCCTGAGAAGAAGAAAAAGAAGAAGGAGTCGGCGAGGGACGAAACTGAAATAAAAACAGAGCTGGAGGCGACTGAAGCTCCAGAGGAGGAAAAGATGGAGATCAGTGAGGAGACTTGTGGACCAGGACTGAAGGATTCAGAGAGTTCGGATCAACCAGACTTTACTGGAGATCCTCCGAAACCACAAACTGCACAGGTACAACTGAAGACCTTTAACTTCCTGATCAATAATCATTAGAAAGACACAGTCCATGCTGCGTTCACTGCAGGTGGGAATTACCGCTGCTATCAGCGGGTGCTTAAAGGGACAGGGAGGGTGGATGGAGACAGGAAGTACTTAAAGGGACGTATTAACTTAAAACAGATAATCAATATCAGTGTAATCATTCTACTCTACTGAACCTTTATATGTTCCTCTGCAAAGCCACCAGATTCCACTTACTTAACTGTATTTGTTTGTTTACGTCACGTTAGTGTCTGAGCACAACCGGTGGTCCGAGCGGCGGCAGGATACACAAGGCAGCCATCGTACCAACGCGCAGTTAAAAGCAGGAATGTCTCCGGCTTTAGTGTCGGCAGAAACTCTGTAAAATCACAGTTTTTATCAATGGAGTCTGGTGGAGACTTTCCATCCAAACTGGTGTCCTGTTTCTGTTAGCTGGGTCTGGATTCTGGTTCCGTCTGGACCACATTGGGTGTCTCTTTACTACAGGAGGGAATTTATCTAATCAATCATTTATGAGTCCAACACGAAACACTAACAACTGCTTGTTTTCTGTTCTTTAGTCAGACATAGAGAACGACAGAATGAGCCAAAGACCACATTAGATTTTGATATTTAATGTTTCTGATTCATCAATAAATAAATAATGTTTCTGACTTTGTTTGTCCGGCTTATGATTCTGTATAAAATGTGTTCTCTCAGAAACCTGCTGATGAGCTGCAGGACTCTGAGGACCACATGGAGGAACAGTCTGGACCTGCAGGGGGCGCCGCAGAGCCGCAGAGACCCACCAAACCCACCAAACCCACCAAACCCGTCGGTGAGAAAGTCCACCAGGAAGTTCAGTCAGCTGCCATCGCATCACTTCCTGTTCGAGAAACTTTCAAATTATTAGTGTGTAGTGTTAGTGTGTAGTGTTAGTGTGTAGTGTGTAGTGTTAGTGTTAGTGTTAGTGTGTAGTGTGTAGTGTTGGTGTGTAGTGTGTAGGTTAGTGTAGTGTGTGTAGTGTGTAGTGTTAGTGTGTAGTGTTAGTGTGTAGTGTTAGTGTGTAGTGTTAGTGTGTAGTGTTAGTGTGTAGTGTGTAGTGTTAGTGTTAGTGTGTAGTGTTAGTGTGTAGTGTGTAGTGTGTAGTGTTAGTGTGTAGTGTTAGTGTGTAGTGTTAGTGTTAGTGTGTAGTGTTAGTGTGTAGTGTTAGTGTGTAGTGTTAGTGTGTAGTGTTAGTGTTAGTGTTAGTGTTAGTGTGTAGTGTTAGTGTTAGTGTGTAGTGTGTAGTGTGTAGTGTGTAGTGTGCAGTGTGTAGTGGTTAGTGTGCAGTGTGCAGTGTTAGTGTGTAGTGTTGTTAGTGTGTAGTGTTAGTGTGTGTAGTGGTTAGTGTTAGTGTGTAGTGGTTTAGTGTGTAGTGTTAGTGTGTAGTGGTTAGTGTGTAGTGTTAGTGTTAGTGTGTAGTGGTAGTGTTAGTGTGTAGTGTTAGTGTTAGTGTGTAGTGGTTAGTGTGTAGTGTTAGTGTGTAGTGGTTAGTGTGTAGTGTTAGTGTTAGTGTTAGTGTTAGTGTTAGTGTGTAGTGTTAGTGTGTAGTGTTAGTGTGTAGTGTGTAGTGTTAGTGTGTAGTGTGTAGTGTTAGTGTGTAGTGTGTAGTGTTAGTGTGTAGTGTTAGTGTGTAGTGTTGGTGTGTAGTGGTTAGTGTGTAGTGTTAGTGTGCAGTGTGCAGTGTGCAGTGTGCAGTGTGTAGTGTGTAGTGTGTAGTGTTAGTGTGTAGTGTTAGTGTGTAGTGGTTAGTGTGTAGTGGTTAGTGTGTAGTGGTTAGTGTGTAGTGTTAGTGTGTAGTGTTAGTGTGTAGTGTGCAGTGTTAGTGTGTAGTGTTAGAGTGTAGTGTTAGTGTGTAGTGTTAGAGTGTAGTGGTTAGTGTGTAGTGGTTAGTGTTTGTGTTAGTGTGTAGTGTTAGTGTGTAGTGTTAGTGTTAGTGTGTTAGTGTGTAGTGTTAGTGTGTAGTGTTAGTGTGTAGTGTTAGTGTGTAGTGTGTAGTGTGCAGTGTTTAGTGTGTAGTGTTAGTGTGTAGTGTGTAGTGTTAGTGTGTAGTGGTTAGTGTGTAGTGGTTAGTGTGTAGTGTGTAGTGTGTAGTGTGTAGTGTGTAGTGTGTAGTGTGTAGTGTGTAGTGTGTAGTGTTAGTGTGTAGTGTTAGTGTGTAGTGTGCAGTGTGTAGTGTTAGTGTGCAGTGGTTAGTGTGCAGTGTGTAGTGGTTAGTGTGTAGTGTTAGTGTGTAGTGTTAGTGTGCAGTGTGTAGTGTGTAGTGGTTAGTGTGTAGTGGTTAGTGTGTAGTGTGTAGTGTTAGTGTGTAGTGTTACTGTTAGTGTGCAGTGGTTAGTGTGCAGTGTGTAGTGTCAGTGTGTAGTTGTTAGTGTGTAGTGTTAGTGTGTAGTGTGCAGTGTGTAGTGTGTAGTGTTAGTGTGTAGTGTTAGTGTTAGTGTTAGTGTGTAGTGTTAGTGTGTAGTGTTAGTGGTTAGTGTGTAGTGTTAGTGTGTAGTGTTACTGTGTAGTGGTTAGTGTGCAGTGGTTAGTGTGCAGTGTGTAGTGTTAGTGTGCAGTGTGTAGTGTGTAGTGTTAGTGTGTGTGTCAGTGGTAGTGTGCAGTGTGTAGTGTTAGTGTGTAGTGTGTAAGTGTGTTAGTGTGTTAGTGTGCAGTGTTAGTGTGTAGTGTTAGTGTGTAGTGTGTAGTGTTAACTAATGTGTTTGCTGCAGCGGTGATGCGTTCACTGTCCTCTCATCGTGTGGTTTTTCTCTGCAGGAACTGAGTTTGTTCGACCGGTCGTTGGTTATTTCTGTAACCTGTGTCAGCTGATCTACGCCGACGAGGACGAAGCCAAACTGCAGCACTGCAGCAGCCCCGCCCACTACAGGAAGTACCAGGTGAGCTTCCTGTCACACTACAGGAAGTACCAGGTGAGCTTCCTGTCACACTACAGGAAGTACCAGGTGAGCTTCCTGTCACTACAGGAAGTAACGGGAAGGTTTTTGTTTTCCAGGAGAAGACGGGGAAAGATCCGTGGGCGAGCTGCAGGTGAACAGACATCATGTGACCTACAGACTGATGAGCGTTTCTACCCAGAAGCCTTTGAGGGAGCTCTGAACCTGTAACAGGAACATTAAAGCTGCTCATTGCACACGTCGAGTTTCTGGTTTTTATGGTTAAAAGGTTAAAAACAAGACGAGTCACATTTCAGGAAGCTGATTTATTTATAAAACGTCAACATAAACATTCAGAAATAAACAACAACAACAACAATGTTTGTTCTGGACGAGGAGAGACTGAAAGGAACAGCTCAACATTTTAGGAAATTAACTTTTCTTCATCATATTCTGCGTATCCATCCGCCAACTGCTGGCGGATGGATACGATGTTTGTCACCACGTTGGAACCATTTCTTAAAGCTGTGTATCCATCCGCCCACAACGTCTGTGGAAATTAGCGGACGGACTTCTTTGTAAAAACAACAAACTATTGTTTATCAAACAAGTTTGTCACTCGGTGGATGGATACACACTTCTTTGTAAAGAAATAGTTCCAATGCAAAACTATAACCTTGTTTGGTGTGAGAACTATTTTTTCAGAGCACTTGGCGGATGGATACGCCGTTTGTCATGAAGACTCGTTCATCGGTGAGATGGTTGTTGAACTTGAGCTAGGCTAGCAGTTTCCCTTGGTTTCCAGTCTTTATGCTAAGCTAGGCTAACAATATGTTGAACTGTTCCTTTAATCGAACACACAACACTAAATACTGTGATCAATACTTCACAGCAGATACTGATCGTGTGCTAACAGACACTTTACTGCTGCTTCAATCAATAATCAACTGCTCTGATTGATTGGGAGGTCTGAAGATGTCTCATCAGTCCAAACCAGATTATTGATCAGAAACCATATTGATACTGGATCAATCACTGAGGTGCTTTTTTAAATAATAAACTTTGTTCTTACACTTTACGGACCAAACAAGTTATTCATTCATTGATCACAGACGATCAATAAAACCAGCAAAAAGCAACCGATTATTATTTTAGCTTAAAAAATGTTTGTTTGTGTCATGAGCTAGCAGCTAGCAGCTAACATGAGGAAGTCCAACGTAGACGACGCACTTTACCCTCGGGTGATCACCATGACAACGGCTCTGAGAGTTCAAAGGTTGCGTCGTCTGCGTTCGACTCAACGACAAACTAGAAAAACATCAAAGTTTGGAGGAACTCGTCAGGTCGTCTTCACGCCGTCGTCTTCCTCCCTTTCTTCTTCTCTGCTTTGGTCTGCTCCTTCTCCAGATATTTCTGGAACGACAAACACATTCACAAAGAGTCAGTGGCCCCTGTCAGCTGTGGCCCCTGTCTGTGGCCCCTGTCAGCTGTGGCCCCTGTCAGCTGTGGCCCCTGTCAGCGGGCCCCTGTCAGCTGTGGCCCCTGTCAGCTGTGGCCCCTGTCAGCTGGGCCCCTGTCAGCTGTGGCCCCTGTCAGCGGGCCCCTGTCAGCGGGCCCCTGTCAGCTGTGGCCCCTGTCAGCTGTGGCCCCTGTCAGCTGTGGCCCCTGTCACGGGCCCCTGTCAGTGGGCCCCTGTCAGCTGTGGCCCCTGTCAGTGGATTTATGGATTATCTGATATTAGAGAGCTTCAGCCTCAGTCTGACAATATCTCATATGGGTGGATCCCGGATAAATAACGTTAGCAGCAGCTCTGGGGCAGGTGAGTTGTGGGCGGAGCTCTGGGGCAGGTGAGTTGTGGGCGGAGCTCTGGGGCAGGTGAGTTGTGGGCGGAGCTCTGTGTCTCACCTGCAGCTTGTCGTAGTGCGTCTGGCTGCTGCAGTGCGTCTTCTTGGCCGTCTCTTCGTTGGAGTAAAACAGGAAGCAGACGCGGCAGTAATAACCCATCTTCACATGTTCAACGCCTGAACGACAGGAAGTGACATCATTAACTGGATCATTCATTGTTAATAACATTATTGATTGGGTAATAATTGATATGTAACGGCTCTGTGAATAAAGAGTCTCCTCACTGACCGATGGGGGTGTCGGGGTCATGGGGGGGCAGCGGCAGAGACGCCACACTGGGTTTGGTTTCAGCCAGCGGGGGGGGCTCCGTCGGTCCGTTCTGATTGGTCGACGTCTCCATCTCCTCCTGTCTCTCCTCCTGTTTGACCTCCTGTCTCTCCTCCTGTCTCTCCTCCTGCAGACCAGAGGAGCAGTGACACTCATCAATCAGAAGCTCTGTTGAGTAAACAGGAAGTGATTGGAACTATTGATCTCTGACACTCACGTTCTGATCAGGAACTTCAGGAATCTTCTCTTCTGAGTTTTCTTCTCTCTTGTCAGCACCACCCTGCAGCTCCTCCTCTTTCTCCTTCTCCTCCTCCTCCTCCTCTTTCTCCTCCTGTTCCTCGTGCACTCCCCCCTCCTCCTCTTCCTCCTCCCCCTCCTCCTTCGTTCTCTTGGCCGGAGGTTCTTCGGGGTGTCTGGAGGCTGTCGGAGACGTGCTGCCGCTGTGATCTCTCTTGGTGGCGCTGGGACATCGATGTCTGAACAAACAACAGTTTCAGTCAAAGAGACGGACAGGAAGAGGAGCAGTCAGTGAGCACCACAAAAGAAGAAACTGACCCGTGTTTGAGCTGCCGGTACTTCCTGCTGACGTAGACGGTCAGACGCTTTCCGTTGAACTTCGGTGGATTGGCTTTGCAGTCGTCGGCCATTTTCTCTGCGTCCTCTGCATTCTCCATCTCGATGAAACACTGAGGACCAAACAGACAGTCAGAGACCTCAGAGAGTCTGTGCTGGACCCGGTTCTGTACCGGTTCTGTACCGGTTCTGTACCGTACCTCTCTCTTCAGCCGGTTGAGGAAGTACTTCCTGACTCTCCCGAACGGCTCGGCCAGTTTCAGGATGGCGTCGTCGGAGTATTTACTGCTGGGGATCTGACCGATGTACACCACCTTACTGGAGCCGCACTGAGCAACAAACAAACAAACAAACAACAACAGTAAACTCTCTTACAGAATCCTGTGGTTTCTGAGCGGTGAGTGGACGGGCTGTACAGACTGTGGGCTGATTCAGGTGTTTCTATGGTGACAGGACGCTGACTGCAGTTCATTGAACGACCACTGTTGGCGCCGTTAACATCAGTTTCATGACACTCGTGCGAGGTGTTCACCTGGATGGTCGGGTAGCTCATGGAGTGACTGACCCTCACCGGGCGGCCGCACACTGACGCCGTCACATTGCTGTTGTAAAACTTGGCCATCGCTCGAGCTTCTTCCTCTGTCCCGAACTGAAGGTACGCCTGAGGAGGAAGAGACGGGAAGAGTCAGGAAGAGTCAGACATATACAGACTGTGGATGCTTCCACCCTGCAGGGGGCGCTGTTACCTCAGGTCTCAGGTCCAGGACCAGGTGTTTGACCACTTTCCCAAAAGGTTTGGCGAGTCCGAGCAGCTCAGTGAGGAAGTTGTAACCTCGTCTAAACCCGACGATGTTGACCACCCTCATACCCTGAAAACAAAGTCAAACCTTTAACTGTTCCGATCAATTGATGCTTTTGATTTCCAGAGTCCGACAGGAGTTTTGGTTTAAAGGAGCCATTTTGTAACGTCTGGTATGAGGACAGATAATACGTACCCCTCTCCTCGTGTTGTCTGCAGAGGAGAAGAGACACAAACAGAAGATCAGTGTCTGATCCTCATCTACATTTTAATCCTAAACAGCATCTCCAACTCTAAATAATCAGGTACCCAAAGAGTCCGACTCCCCGTCTGCTTCGTCCTCGTCCTCTGCCAGTTCGTCCAGCGTCACAAAGTCCTCCATGTTCTCCAGGAAGTCCCGATCAAACTGAACAACACAAACATCATAAACAATTGATTTATTCTGTTTCTGTCCATTGAAGTGTTTTATTATTATTGTGATTATCTCAGTGGAGTCTGGTGGGCTGTATTCAATTCAATTCAATTTTATTCAATTTTATTTGTATAGCACCAATTCATAACAGAAGTTATCTCAGGACACTTTTCAGATAGAGCAGGTCTAGACCGAACTCTTTATAACGTTAGTAGTATACTGTAGTATCAGTGAGCTTCATATATTAACATTTACAGTAATGGTAAATGTAAAGGACCTAATAGCGCCTTCAGTCTTCCGACCACTCAAAGCGCTTTTACACTACGTGCCACATTCACCCTTCCACATACATTCAGTGATGGCAAAGTCCATCAGCAGAAACTAATTCATTCACACACACTCACTCACCGATGCATGGCATCAGGAGCAATTTGGGGTTCAGTATCTTGCTCAAGGATACTTCGACATGTGGCACCAGGAGCCGGGGATCGAACCCACGGGCGGCTGTGGCTCAGAGGCAGAGCGGGTCGTTCCTTAATCGGAAGGTTGTGGGTTCGATCCCGGCTCCGGTGCCACATGTCAAGTACCGAGCAAGACAACGATGCGTGCATGGTGTGGAATGTGTAGAATGAGTTAGTTTCGTCGATGGACTTGGGAATGTGGCACGTAGTTAAAGCGCTATGGCCGGCCACAAGTACAGGTTCATTTACCATTTACAACCTTCCGATTAAGGAACGACCTGCTCTGCCTCTGAGCCACAGCCGCCCCCCTAAGGCACCCTAACCCCCACAGTTAAACTATATAATATAAATCAATAAACGGTGTTGATCAGGGTTTATTAAGCGTACCACGTCAGCAGGCAGGTCTCCCTCCACCGTCTCTGAACTATCTCCTGCTTCTGCGTTCGTGTCCTCTTTGGCCTCGTGTTCTTCGGTCTCTGTCGGTTGCGTCGCTCGCTCTGACTCCGCCCCCTGCTTGGTGTTGAAGTCTCGAGGAGTGTCATCAGTGACGTCATCACCATCAGGAGCCTGTGTACAGGTGAGTGTGTCTGAGAGCTGGCAGGACCTTTAATGGACATAATTAACTTTGTGTATTTCCTCACCTCCTCCTGTTGGACCTCCTCCGACTCCTCCACTGTTTCCTTTGCAGACTCTGCTCTCTCTGGCTCCTCCTCCGCTGCGTCTCCATCAGTTACCTGCTCCTCCCCCACCTCCTCCTCTCTGTCCTCCCCCTCCATCACTCCCGACACCTCCTCCTCCTCCGCTGCAGGTTTCTCCTCAGGCTTCAGTTTGCTCTCCTCCTCCTTCTTCTTCTCCTCCCTGGTCCTGGAGCTGGACGAGGATTTGGACGAGGAGTTCCTGAGCGAGCTGGAGGAAGTCCTGGTCCCAGAGGTAGAGGAGGAGGAGGAGGTGGCGTTTGCTCCACCGCTCCTCTGGCTTCGATTGTCTCCACCAGAACCTCCACCGGACCCGCCACCGGACACGCCCTGTCTCCGGTTCACACTGAAACACACAAATGTTTGGTATTTAACTGCAGCACAATGTGAACAACCACTAAGTGGATCACTGGGAGGTAACATACCACCGTACAGGTGTCTCAGTGCAGGTGTGTCAGTAGTTCAGGTGTGTCAGTACAGGTGTGTTCTGAGCACTCACTTAAGGGTCTTGTACTTGGTGCAGATGTTGAGGCGAATGGGTCTCCCTTTGATTGTGAGCGGGTTCACGCTGTAATACTTGACCAGCATCTCTGCGTCCTCCGGCGTCCCCAGCTGGACAAACGCCTGAGAGACAGACAGACAGACAGACACAGACAGACAGACAGAGAGACACACAGACAGACAGAGAGACACACAGACAGACAGAGAGAGGTTCATATCCATCGCTCTGAATTGAAACTAGAGCAACCTTCCATCACCAACCCTCTTTTAAAGGATCAATGTGGATTTGGTGGGGCGGGGAGAGCTAAACAATCCCAAATGTTTTTATGATCTACAGAGAATTGAGAATCTATGTGAACGCTCCGCAGCTGCCTGTCTGTATAATAAAGAGGGTATAATAAAGTTTAGTTCCAACAGGAAGCACCTGAAGTTTACCTGGTCGGTCAGGAACAGGTGTTTCTCCACGATGCCGAAGCGCCCGGCGATGGTGAGCAGCTCCTTCTTCTTCTCCTCCTCTCTGGGCAGGTTGGAGAAGAAAACCACCTGACTGCCATGACCTTTGACCTCCCGGACAGGCCGGTCCATCGGCCTGTCCATCGGCCTCTCCATCGATCTGTCCATCGGCCTGTTTGAAGCCCGGTCATCTTTCTGAAGGTCAAAAACAGTGAGGCACATTCAGGAGCAGTAGGACAGTGAGGGACGTTCAGGAGCAGTAGGACAGTGAGGGACGTTCAGGAGCAGTAGGACAGTGAGGGACGTTCAGGAGCAGTAGGACAGTGAGGGACGTTCAGGAGCAGTAGGACTGTTACCTCGATGACCAGCAGTCTCTTGGACAGGTAGAAGGTGAGGGGTTTCCCGTACAGAGCTGCTGGGTGCTGCTCGTAGTAGTTGACCATGTCCAGAGCCTCCTCGTGACTGTTCATCTCCAGAAAGGCCTGGTGGAGACAGACAGTGGACAGTGAGTGTGAGTGTGATGAAGATGTGACGTTGTTGCTCAGAGGTTAACTCCACCTTGTTCTTGAGGACCAGGTGCTCCCTCAGGCAGCCGAACGGCTCGGTGAAGGCGAACAGAGTCTTGTTGCTGAGAGGCTTCCTGTCGTACTTCACCACCACCACTCTGCTCCTCAGCTGAGGACAGACAACCAACTTCAGTTCCCCTACCGACACATGATACCAGATATTCACCGCTTTATTCCAGGGGACGTTCAGAGATTCAGAGACACCAACCTTATTTTGTCCCAACTGGTTCTTCGCTGACAGACCAGGACCTCCTCCTCCTCCTCCTCCTCCTGTGGACACAGTGAATATAAAGTCACAGCCTCCTGCTGCTGCACACTGTGTGGGTGCAGTACCGGAATATGGGTCAGGAGTTCTGGGGCTCTTACCCCAGCTGGAGGACATCCCTCCGGCTGTCTGGACTGAAGACATGGGGGCAGGTCCAAGCAGCCCTGCAGACAGGTTGGGGGTGTCCAGAAGACCCTCACTGGAGCAAAGAAACCAAAGTCAGTCAGTTATTAAACCAAAACAACCACCATTACAACTCCATGGGGCTGATGGGTAATGTGCTCACAAGTTCAGTTCATCCTCGAGTCCAAGTGGACGTTGGAGCAAACTCTCAGGAACTTCCTCGAGGAGTTCCTGAGATACAGTGTTTGTGACAATGAGACGGCGTCGTAGCCGAGCTAGCGGCTGTGTTGAAGCCGAGCTAGCGGCGGTGCTGTAGCTGAAATGTCCCACACTGTCCACTCTGTGTCAGCACTGATTTACAGCAGTAAGGGCGTGTGGAGATATTTTACTGATGTGTCAGATACTTCAGTTTAGAGGAGGAACTCTTTAATCAATAATCAATGAATGGACTGATAGCTGCAGCTGTCCAGTGTCTGTGGTGGACAGTGTGAGTCTCTTACCCTCTGCCTGAGGACATGCCAGGGTCCCACTCCGGATACCTGAAACATTGATCGAAGGTTAAATCGAAGTACAAACGTCTCTGAGGATCAGCTGTGTGTCAGAGTCACTCACATGTCGAGCAGCAGCCGTCTGTTCTCAGCATGTCGCAGTCCGTTAGTGTGCTGGTTCCACTCCTACAGAGACACACAGTTACTGACACTCCCCCATCAACAAACGTTACAGGAACACTTCACCCAAACACTCAATCAACAGTCTGACTACTGGAAGTGTACAAACAGCAGATCTCTGAGGGGCCTCCTGTAGGATGTGTGTGTGGATGAAGCTTGGTACAGCTTCAGTAAGACAATGAGGATACATGCTGTAAGGTGATCTAACACGATGCAACTGGACCACCTGTCGCTGACTGAAGTGGACAGAAGACCTGGGCTCACCTGAGCTCAAACATTTAAAGTTAGTCCGACAGGAGAGAGGAAGGACTGGAGAGTACTCACCATGGTGGAGTGAACGTCAAAGTCACAAAGAGAGCAAACGTGGGGGAACATGGGGGGCATGACTCCCAAGAAGTCTTGGACTTTTCCATTGGACGGGGCGCCCATCCTCCTCTGCATAAAGACGGGCTCGGACGTTGGCGGCCCCATGCCGAGCCCGCTGTAGGAGTCCCGGCGGGAAAGCTCAGAGTACGGCCTCTCTCTGCTGCCGCCGCCACCGTAATGTAAGCCGTAGCTGCGGCTGGGAGCCACGTCCTGCAGGGAACCGTACCCAAAGTCTGCAGAGGACTGGGCCCGGGCCGAACCCTGACCCAGAGACGGACCGCCCATCCTGTCCATGTCGTCCCAGCTGTCCCTTCCTCCTCGATACGCAGCGTCAGAGGACATGGAGGACGCCCCCCTCCGCTCTCCCCCGTCTCCCTTGCGGCTCTTGAGCTGCATGAGGATGTGCGGCAGCGTCTCCACGCTGATGTCCTCTTCGGGGATTTCGGCCAGAGCGTCCAGGTCGGACGGCGACAGCCCCAAACTGGCAAACAGCTTCATGGTGTTGCCAAGATGGCCACCGCCGCCACGCCGGGACATCTGGGAGCCGCCATCTTGGCCCTCCATGCCGCCGCCGCCCACCCCGACGCCTGAGGCCACGCCCCCCATCTGCCGGCCGGACCGCTGCTCGTTCATGCTGTAGTTCAAGGTCTCTGCGGCAGCCAGGAGCCCCCGACCCACAGCGAAGTGTTTCTGACCTCCGTCCGACTGCGACTTCTGAGACATGACGTCACAAAGATAAAGATAAAGAAGGAAGCGGGCGGCGGGCGGCGTCAACGCTTAAAGGACGGGGACGGGAATGTCTCGTGCAAAGAGTAAACCTGGACAAAGTGACGGGGAACTCCTCTTCTCGCTCTGATTCTGCTGAGACACAATGAGGTAGAGACACTCTTCAGACGCTGCCTCTGAGACAACAGCAGCCAGCGGACGGAAGAGACACCTGAGCAGGTGGAAGCTGGGACTACTGGGACATGAGAGGCAGTTAAAGAAGACTGGCAAAGGAGACAGAACAGGCTTATAAAGACTCAAATATCAGCCCAGACCAGCAGGGAGAGAATGGACAGAGTGTGATGGAAACATCCTCACTGAGAAGGTCAGATATCACAGACAGTGTGATTAATAAAACCTTTATGTTCCATATAAAACACAAAGAATCAGAAGAGTCCAATTAGAATGAAAGAGGGACAACTGGACCAGAATACATCGGTGGACCGGATACAAACAGTCAACGACCGGAAAAACTTCACTTATGTGCACGTTTCTTACATTATCATCATCATCATCATCATTATTATTATTACTACTACTACTATTACCACCCTGTATTACACATGTTTTACTTATTTCACAGTTTTCTATAGATGATGTTTGTATAATATTTTTAGGGATGAACAATGATATCAGTGTCACTGGACAATAAATATTAAAACATTGCGTCTGCAGGTTATATATTTATATATATATATATATATATATATATATAACGTTAGAGTAGATATTTCAATATGCTTTGTGATTAATGTGAAGATGAGCAGAACAAACCAACACGTTTTCTTACATCTGGTTGTTATATTATATTATATTATATTACTTCATTATTATACTAGCTCTTGCTATTAGCATACTGCACATGTCCATATTTTGATAATATTTAGATGAATTCTGCAGATGTTCTTTATTATAAAGTCCAACTTAAACTAATGACACCCTGTGAAGCGGAGACATGTATTAAATGTATTAAATGTGTTAAAGAGTGCACACTCTGTAACACTCTCTAACTCTCTGTAACACTCTGCAACACTCTGCAACACTCTGCAACACTCTGCAACTCTCTGCAACACTCTGTAACTCTCTGCAACACTCTGTAACACTCTGTAACTCTCTGCAACTCTCTGCAACACTCTGCAACACTCTGCAACACTCTGTAACACTCTGTAACTCTCTGTAACTCTCTGTAACTCTCTGTAACACTCTGTAACACTCTGTAACTCTCTGTAACACTCTCTAACTCTCTGTAACTCTCTGTAACTCTCTGTAACTCTCTGTAACTCTCTGCAACTCTCTGCAACACTCTGTAACACTCTGCAACACTCTGTAACACTCTGCAACTCTCTGTAACACTCTGTAACTCTCTGTAACACTCTGTAACTCTCTGCAACACTCTGCAACACTCTGTAACTCTCTCTAACACTCTGTAACACTCTGTAACTCTCTGTAACACTCTGTAACACTCTGCAACACTCTGTAACTCTCTGTAACACTCTGTAACTCTCTGTAACTCTCTGTAACACTCTCTAACTCTCTGTAACACTCTTTAACACTCTCTAACTCTCTGTAACACTCTTTAACACTCTCTAACTCTCTGTAACACTCTTTAACACTCTCTAACTCTCTGCAACACTCTGCAACACTCTGTAACTCTCTCTAACTCTCTGTAACTCTCTGTAACTCTCTGTAACTCTCTGTAACACTCTGCAACACTCTGCAACACTCTGTAACACTCTGTAACTCTCTGTAACTCTCTGTAACTCTCTGTAACACTCTCTAACTCTCTGTAACACTCTGTAACTCTCTGCAACACTCTGTAACACTCTGTAACTCTCTGTAACACTCTGTAACTCTCTGTAACACTCTGTAACTCTCTGTAACACTCTGCAACTCTCTGTAACTCTCTGTAACACTCTGTAACTCTCTGTAACTCTCTGTAACTCTCTGTAACACTCTCTAACTCTCTGTAACTCTCTCTAACTCTCTGTAACTCTCTGTAACACTCTGTAACACTCTCTAACACTCTCTAACTCTCTCTAACTCTCTGTAACTCTCTCTAACTCTCTCTAACTCTCTGTAACTCTCTGTAACCTAACTCTCTGTAACACTCTGTAACTCTCTGTAACTCTCTGTAACTCTCTGTAACTCTCTCTAACTCTCTGTAACTCTCTGTAACACTCTGTAACTCTCTGTAACTCTCTGTAACTCTCTGTAACTCTCTCTAACTCTCTGTAACTCTCTCTAACTCTCTCTAACTCTCTCTAACTCTCTGTAACACTCTGTAACACTCTGTAACTCTCTGTAACTCTCTGTAACACTCTCTAACTCTCTCTAACTCTCTCTAACTCTCTCTAACACTCTGTAACTCTCTGTAACTCTCTGTAACACTCTGTAACTCTCTGTAACTCTCTGTAACTCTCTGTAACACTCTGTAACTCTCTCTAACTCTCTCTAACACTCTGTAACTCTCTCTAACTCTCTCTAACTCTCTCTAACTCTCTCTAACTCTCTGTAACACTCTGTAACTCTCTCTAACACTCTGTAACACTCTGTAACTCTCTGTAACACTCTCTAACTCTCTGTAACACTCTGTAACTCTCTGTAACTCTCTGTAACTCTCTGTAACTCTCTCTAACACTCTCTAACTCTCTGTAACACTCTGTAACACTCTGTAACTCTCTGTAACACTCTTTATCTGTAACACTCTGTAACACTCTGTAACTCTCTGTAACACTCTGTAACACTCTGTAACTCTCTCTGTAACACTCTGTAACACTCTCAACACTCTGTAACTCTCTGTAACTTAACACTCTCTGTAACACTCTGTAACACTCTTTAACTCTCTGTAACTCTCTGTAACTCTCTGTAACTCTCTGTAACTCTCTAACTCTCTTTAACTCTCTCTAACTCTCTCTAACTCTCTGTAACACTCTGTAACACTCTGTAACACTCTGTAACTCTCTTTAACACTCTGTAACTCTCTGTAACTCTCTGTAACTCTCTGTAACTCTCTGTAACTCTCTGTAACACTCTCTAACTCTCTTTAACACTCTCTAACTCTCTCTAACACTCTGTAACTCTCTGTAACACTCTCTAACTCTCTGTAACTCTCTGTAACTCTCTGTAACTCTCTGTAACACTCTCTAACACTCTGTAACACCTTCACTCTGTTTGAGTCTCTTTAGTGTTTTCAGTCCGTCCAACAGTCCGACTTTAACGTTAGCACAATGCTAATGGCATTAGCCTGCTGCTACAAGCTAATGCTACTCGTTAGCTGACGTCAGTTTAGTTCAGAGCTTCACGTGAAGGTTGTCATTGAACGTTGAGCTGTGTACAATCTGCTCATAAAGTGTATATGTGTGAATATTAACAATCTTACCGTAACGCGTGGTTGGTAGCTAACAGTTAGCTAGCTCAGCCTGCTAGCGCAAACCGAGGCACGAGCGCTGCCAGCCAGATCTCGCGATGTTTCGTTGTCTTACGCTAAAAGGGCTCGAGCGCGTTATGTTTCCTGTTTTCGCGCCTCTTTTCTCATCGTGTTCCCTGTGAATATTATTATTAACTATTAAATGTACATATTTGTGACTCAGCTCTTCAATATTTATCTTCCATCTGTCGGGACTTTCAGTTTATCAACGTCAGCGACTTTCCGGAAGTCAGGTCGGAGTCTGGACTACAGTGCTGCCTTCAGGGCACCTCCGGAAGTTCCTACTCCAAGATGTCGCAGCAGTCACTGTTCTGGAAGTCTATTGGTGTCCATCCATTTGTCTCGGGGCTCCTCAGACTGAGCTGAACGGGGACAAACGTAGACTCACAAACACAAAGATGTATTTTCTTTGTGTTTGTTCTACGTTGGTCGTTTTATTGTAGATTTTAAATGCTCTTACACTGTTTACATTACAGTTTATACATTGCAGCGTGTTACTGAGTTCAACACAATGTCAACTTTTGTTTTCTAGTTGGTTTGCTAAATAGGCTAATGTAGCTAACAATAACACTGCCTACCCCTAGAGGCCCCTGGAAGTCCCTGGAAGCCCCTAGAGGCCCCTGGCCCTGGAGCCCCTGGTGGCTCCTGGTGGCTCCTGGTGGCTCCTGCTGGCTTATGTCATGTTCTCGCATCAGAGCAAGTCAGGCGGGGGATTTACGAGACAAATCCCCTCCCATCTGCTCCTGTATAACACTCAGTATTTCTCAATAGACTGCAGTAAGCTGAGCTGTAACAGTGGAGCCTCCTGCCATGCTCCTGCTAGATTGCCATTGCCAATACTGTTGTTGCTGTGCACCTGTCTGTCTGTCTGTCTCTCTCTCTCTCTCTCTCTCTCTCTCTCTCCCACCCACCTAGAGCCGGAGGATCTGTCCTAGGTTTCTGCCTTTTAACAGGCAGTTTTTCCTTGCCCTTGTCTCCAAGGTCTTGCTCATGGTGGTACTGTTGGGTCTCTGTAATTAATGTTTTAAAGAGTTCGGTCTAGACCTGCTCTATTTGAAAAGTGTCCTGAGATAACTTCTGTTATGAATTGGCGCTATACAAATAAAACTGAATTGAAATGAATTGTGACAGCAGTGTGTTGCTGCTACGCCAGAAAAATAAAATAAATCAGTTTGACAATATGATGTAAAAAGGCATTGTTATGAAAATATATTTTTATTTTATTCCAACATAAACATAAAACTAAATCATTTACTATACTATACTATATTTTTTTATAAGAATTCTTCTCTTATGATAACTTATTGTTTATAACTATAAATTGTTAATTAACATAAAACATTTAATTTTATAACTTGATAACTTAATGTTATTGTTAACATCTGTCTCCTTGTAAAAGTGAAATATCAGCAATGTCTTATTCTTAATGAGAACAACAATAAAACTAATGTTTCGTTCAATCACAAAAACAACACTCCTACTTTCCGATTCTCGGGCCCCTTTGGTTTTAATGGGTCATGCAGGCAGTGAAGGCAGCACTCTGATTGTCCAATCACAAGCGAGCACAGAGTGACGTCAGCTATGTAAACAAACAGAGGCAGCGCGGCCATGACAGTCCGACAGTCCCAGAGCTCGGTCCGCTGCCGTCCAACCGTCCGGGTTCTCAGGTATTTCACCGGTCCACAGTCCGTGTTTGAGTTCGGTTCGTGGTTCTAATGTTACTGAAGGTTCGTGTTCGTGTTCCTCTGTCGGTAGAAGTCGGTTATTCTGCTGCGTTCAAGGTACAAACGGCGGTCACACAGTCGGTATCCGGCTGCTATTGTCTGTCAGACAGCGGCCATCACAGCGACCTGGGGGGGGCAGTACCGACCACCAACATTCATAAACAACAACAATAACAGTAATAACAACAACAATAATAACAATACGGTAAAACTTATCACTATATAACTATATAATAATAATAACTATTAATTCTACATGAATCAATAATAAGTAGCTATTAATGATAATGATCGATAAGGACAGTATTCCAGCAGCTGATTGGTTGATTGGGGCTGATTAAAGCTCCCAGTGGCTGATAGTGATTCACTCTCAGGTGATTGATCTGATCAATATATTGGAGCTCGGTGTCATTGGTGTGAATTGTATTATTATGTATTGAACATAGAAATCAATATGTAGATGATTATTACATAAACACAGATCAATAAGTACCAACCAGTGAGTGGCTGATCATGTGACCTGTTGTAGATCCGCCCCTGCTGTTGACCCCGGCTCAGAGAGAGAATGAGAGACCCCCGACTCAACAACAACAACAACAACACCCCCAACATGACCGTCAGCAACGAGGTCGTCCTGAGCAACCAGTTCAACTCGGAGGAGAACCCGTTCGCAGAGTACATGTGGATGGAGAACGAGGAGGAGTTCAACAGGCAGGTGAGAGCACCTGGGGCTCAGGTCAAAGGTCAAAGGTCGGTGTTTCCTACAGACAGGAGGAGGAGGAACTGTTCAATAACAGACACACTGCGGCCCACCAGACTCCATTCAGAAAACCACAGATTGAACCGCTCCCATAATTCAACTGTTGGTGGTCTCAGTCACAGTCAGTGGCTCACAGTTGTTGTTGTTGTTGTTGTTGTTATTTAGATCTCTGATGAATAGATTGTTGTTTAAAATATCAGTTTTATTTGATCTGATCTAAGATATTAAAGACCTGGTTTCTGTGTGTGTGTGTGTGTGTGTGTAGGTGGAGGAGGAGCTGTGGGAGGAGGAGTTTATTGAGCGGTGCGTTCAGGAGCTTCTGGAGGAGGAGGAGCAGTGGGAGTGGTTCATCCCGTCCAGAGACCTCCCCCCTCAGACCGGCACTCAGCTGCAGGACCAGATCAGTGTGCTGGTTCTGGACGCCGACGCTGACTTCGACCTTGTGGTGAGTTCACTGCCAATCAGAGGCTGCAGTTCCCTAGCAACCAGCACTGATCGATCTGATTGATCTTTATTTATCAAACAGAAACGGTGAAAAGACGCCGACAGTCAGCGACCTCCGTTCAGAGATCTTACTCTGTATGGTTCCTCTTTAAATGGATCAATAATCAGTAACGTTCTATTAGGTGTTCTATAAGGTTATTATCATTATTATTATTATTATTATTATTATTAATAAAATGTGTCCAGTCTTCAGTTTTCTGTGTGAACTGAATCTCTTGAATAAAACGAGGCGTTTAAAGACTGTAGTCAGTTTAAAAGAGTTCAATGTGCGGCTAGCTGCCTTAAATCAGCAGTTTCCTTATGGGAGTTTTGTATTGTGTCGACGATCTTTCTCTTCTTCCTCACTGCTCAGGTGAACAGCAGTCTGAACCCCAACGCCAAGGAGTTCATCCCGGGGATCCAGAAACACGTCATGTGACCCGACCCGCAACCTGCCCCCCCCCCCAGTCCACACTGTGACATCATCACCAAGATGTCTGCCGTATTTTCCACTTCGACCTTCAACCTGACGTGTTGCCAAAGTTCTGCTCGCATGTGTTCAGAGTCCACTTCCTGTTACTGCACCCGTCTGTCTGACCGTCTGTCTGTCTGTCTGACCATCTGTCTGTCTGTCTGACCGTCTGTCTGTCTGAGGTCGCTCTCTGAATGTAAATCAGCTGAGAGTGTCTGCGTTCACTTTATATTCAGAACAAAGTGTTTCTGTTACGATCCGCTCTGAACTTTATTTGCACTTTTATAAAACAGATTTTAGTTCCAGTTTAGATCCGGTCTGATCCGGTTTGGATCCAGTTTAAATCCGGTCTGATCCGGTTTGGATCCAGTTTAGATCTGGTCTGATCTGGTTTGGATCCAGTTTAGATCCGGTCTGATCCGGTTTGGATCCAGTTTAGATCCGGTCTGATCCGGTTTGGATCCAGTTTAAATCCGGTCTGATCCGGTTTGGATCCAGTTTAGATCTGGTCTGATCTGGTTTGGATCCAGTTTAAATCCGGTCTGATCCGGTCGTTTTGGTTCAGTCTCTCTGCTTTCCTCTGGTGTTTTCCCAGAATCCTTTGTGTGTGGGTCCGAGCGGCCCTCAGAGCTGCTGCCTCATTAACTGTTTGTGGTTTTTCTAAATGAACAAAGTTCTGTATAAAAAGTCATATAAAGAAAAAAGTTGTAAAAAAAATATCTATTTTTTCTTAAATCTATTTGAAAATAAATGTTTATGGAGAAAGCTTCCCTCTGTGGGTTATTGATCAGTGATTGATCAGGTTTAGTTTGAACTCACAGAAACACATCTGGATCAGTTTGATATAAACCGGTTACAGAACGTTTTAATAAGAACTGTACAGTCTGTCTCACCCGTCTCACCTGTCTCACCCCCAACACAACCACACATTGATCACACAGAAGACCAGCTGTTCTCTGCTGGTTCAGGCCCGCTTGTGGTCCAATGTGGTCTACAGCGCCCCCTGTGCCACCCTCCTGAACAGCTGCTGTCTCTGCTGGGCCGTCATGGTGTCGCAGCTCTGCAGCAGGTTGGCGATGACGAGCGTCTGCTGGATGCTGGAGGACCGGACCCACAGACGGCCGTTCATCCCCAAAACCAGCTCACAGGGGAACAGCTGCTGCAGGTCTGCCAGCACCTCACTGTGGGGGGCCAGCAGTCTGTGGGGGGGTGGGGGGGCCACAGGCATCAATAACATCATCAATAACATGGTTTCTGTAGTGGAGACTAAACGTTAACAATGATCCATATCAGCAATAACAATTCCTAACGTGTTCGTAACAACACGTAACTCTAGAAACACGAGCTAAAGGCCGTCATATGTCCACAGTCTGACTGTCAATACAGGATCAATATCATCCATAAAGATACAGTGTATACTGATCAATATCATCCATACAGATACAGTGTATACTGATCAATATCATCCATACAGATACAGTGTATACTGATCAATATCATCCATAAAGATACAGTGTATACTGATCAATATCATACAATACCATAAAGATACAGTGTATACTGATCAATAATCCAATAATAGAATCAATATAAAGTAGATCTGATCAAAAATATAAAAATCAAAATAGAAAAAAAGTGATCTACGTTTTTACCTTCTGACGAGTCCCAGAGAGACGATGAAGAGCAGACCTCCTCCTCCGAATACTCCCATCCCATTGGCTCGTCCCGAACTGTCCATACACACCAGCTCCGGCTCCATGTCCTTATTGGCTATGATGAACTGAGAGAACACCAGGTCGCCCACCTGTACAGGTAACACACAGGGAGGGAGGGGTTCAACACCTGTACAGGTAACACACAGGGAGGGAGGGGTTCAACACCTGTACAGGTAACACACAGGGAGGGAGGGGTTCAACACCTGTACAGGTAACACACAGGGAGGGAGGGAGGGGTTCAACACCTGTACAGGTAACACACAGGGAGGGAGGGAGGGAGGGAGGGGGTTCAACACCTGTACAGGTAACACACAGGGAGGGAGGGAGGGAGGGGTTCAACACCTGTACAGGTAACACACAGGGAGGGAGGGGTTCAACACCTGTACAGGTAACACACAGGGAGGGAGGGAGGGAGGGGTTCAACACCTGTACAGGTAACACACAGGGAGGGAGGGGGGTTCAACACCTGTACAGGTAACACACAGGGAGGGAGGGGTTCAACACCTGTACAGGTAACACACAGGGAGGGGGTTCAACACCTGTACAGGTAACACACAGGGAGGGAGGGTTCAACACCTGTACAGGTAACACACAGGGAGGGAGGGGTTCAACACCTGTACAGGTAACACACAGGAGGGAGGGGTTCAACACCTGTACAGGTAACACACAGGGAGGGAGGGGTTCAACACCTGTACAGGTAACACACAGGGAGGGAGGGGGTTCAACACCTGTACAGGTAACACACAGGGAGGGAGGGAGGGGTTCAACACCTGTACAGGTAACACACAGGGAGGGAGGGGTTCAACACCTGTACAGGTAACACACAGGGAGGGAGGGAGGGGTTCAACACCTGTACAGGTAACACACAGGGAGGGAGGGAGGGAGGGGTTCAACACCTGTACAGGTAACACACAGGGAGGGAGGGGGTTCAACACCTGTACAGGTAACACACAGGGAGGGAGGGGTTCAACACCTGTACAGGTAACACACAGGGAGGGAGGGAGGGGTTCAACACCTGTACAGGTAACAGCGGGTCTTCAGTGTCTCACCTGGACGTTGGGGCGGTTCCTCTTGGTCGCCCCCTCGAACGCCAGGTAGGACAGAGACGCCTGCTCGCTTCCTCCAAAGTCCACCTTGAAGACGTCTCCTGATTTGACCGTCACGATGCCGATGACGGTCTCTCCTTTAGCCGGGACGTACTGAGGACACAGAGACAGACTCAGCTCCCAGCATGCACTGCTCCAACACCTGTCCTCTTCTGAAATGTCCTCATGGAACACCAACGTTCGCTTCACCTTCTATTAGGAACTCCGAACGCCATTTAAATATATAGCTATTTAAAGTTTGACCCAATATGGTTCACCGGATTTAACTTCCAGAACAAAAACTAACAACTCTCATACATTAGTTCGGTGATCTGAGTAATTCGGGCCGGTACTGGTTCACCAACCGGTACTGTATTACTAAATAATCTGAACTTTTCAGAGCGGAGTCCCGCTGCTCGCTGCCGTAAAGCACAGCGAGCTGTGGAAGACAGAACAGCGGAAATAATGAATTAAATTCAACTTTAATGACACAAAGCGCATCTTGATTACTTTATTTTAAGCCGTAATCTCGACTGATCCATAATGATTTAAGTTCAGTCCAAGAGTCCCGCCTTATGAGGCGTTCAGGTGCGCTGACAAAGAAATCCCTTAAATTGCGAGATTTCTAAACGGATTTCTGCACACAGTAGGAGCTCCAGTTAGCGCAGATCTGACAGTAACTGGATGGTGTGGGTATATAGAGTGAGTCCGGTGCAGTCTCACCCTCCTCTGCTGGGAATCCATCCAGAACATGTTGGGCTGTTTGTGTCGGAGGACGCCGCTTTTACACACCAGCAGCCGGTCTCCGCTCCGCCTCAGACCCGGTCCGCACACCACCTTCTCCGGTCTCCCGGGGTCCGTCAGAGAGATGGTGTCGTCGGTCTGAAAGCAGAACTCATCTCCCGGTAACAAAACCTCTCCGACTTTCTCCTTCAACCCGGGAAACATGTCGACTCTGCAGCAGCTTCACTCACATGTGTTGTTGTTGTTGTTCGACGGACGGAAATCAATGTGACACAGGAAGCAGGAATCAGCCTGCAGCGCCCCCTGCGGGCCGGAGGAACAAACCCGAGTTTCTCAGTTTCACAGAAACATTTAAATATAAATGTTTGATTATAATGTATCATTAATATATTTATTTGTTTTCTATTAGCAGTAGAACCTGACTGTGTTTGAGTCTGTTTATTACTGACACATTTACTTAAACTAATAATAATAATAATAATACATTGAATTGTACAACAAATAAAATATGAACCCAAAACAATAAAAAACAATAAACAATTGGAGTAAATTAGTAAAGTGTCACCGTCTATAAATAAGAACCCCCGTTAATAAACCAATAATATTATTATAATAATATTTGTAATATAAAACATCTTTAGCTGCTGCTTTTATTTATTTTATTTATATTTTGTATATTTATTTCTTTATTCCTCTTTCACTCAGAATTTTAATCCCATTACATTATTTTATTGTTTTTATTAAAATAATAAAATCTCTAATTATTTTTCATTTTGTTTTTATTCCCCTCAGTACAGCTCAGACGGTTCTCCTGTAGTAACTGTTGTTGTTGTTTTTAGTCCATATTTCATTATTATCATTTATTTTGTGTGAAATTCGATATATTAAATATTAAGAAATATTGAATTCAAGACTTTTATTTTGGCATTTCTTCATTTATTTATTCACTTTATTCACAGCAGCAGCTGATCTGAGTTCAGTTCATGGTTTTATTGTGACGTGTTCCTCTGAGCAGCAGGTGGTGCTCTCACTCAACACAACATTCAACCTACTTGTTTTATTGATTATCAGTAAATCAGATTTTTAACATCAGCTCTCATTATTAATATTATTAATATTATTAATAAATAATTAAATATATAATGTTAAATAATTTAATCAATAATAATGAAATAAAGTCATACACATATATATTTCTATCTTATATATATTGTATTATAATCAGACTTTGTTATGTTGTTGTTGGATATTGTGATATAATCCATATTTTTATTGTTATTTCTATTTCTTTAACATCCGGTGAGTCCCTGTAACTCCTTTCCCCTCAGGGATCAATAAAGTGTTTCAGACTCCACTGATTGGTGACCCTCTAGAGGACCCCGGCCCCTATGTTGGGAACCAGCTCACTGTAACAGCCGTCCTACAGCAGTCATCCTACAGCAGCCGTCCTACAGCAGCAGCAGCCGTCCTACAGCAGCCGTCCTACAGCACTCGTCCTACAGCAGTCTTCCTACAGCAGCCGTCCTACAGCAGCCGTCCTACAGAAGCCGTCCTACAACAGCCGTCCTACAGCAGCAGCAGCCGTCCTACAGAAGTCGTCCTACAGAAGTCGTCCTACAACAGCCGTCCTACAGCAGCCGTCTTACAGCAGTCATCCTACAGCAGCAGCAGTCGTCCTACAGCAGCCGTCCTACAGAAGTCGTCCTACAGAAGTCGTCCTACAGCAGCTGTCCTGCATAATCTGCTGTCAGTCTTCAGGACGGACAGGAGCTGAATGTTTTCTTCATTAAGTGAAAGAATTCAACTGCTGCAGGAAAATAAACCAACTGAAGACTGACAGCAGATCAACAGCAGCTCGCTTTCATAAAATAAAAGTCTGTTGATTAAATAAAGTCAGATTATAAATGTCTTTCTGCACTTTCAACAGTACGGAGGCTCGTTGCAGCCAAAAAGAGACATAAAATGCTGCAAACTCCTGATTTATCTCTTCATCAGTTTATTATTATTTCTCTTTCCACCCTTTTATCTGCCTCCGTCTCTGGGTCACAGTGTTCAAACACTGCAGGACTGGAGCTCAGTGTTCTCAGTATTAAAAGTTAAAGTGGTCACTGTTAATAATGTATAAGAATAATCTATAATGTTCTGTTTATAATGATGGATTGTTATTACTGATGCATTCATGTACAAACATCATTTATTAGGAAACAATTGATTGGATCAACTTCAGATCTGGTCAGAGTGATCTAAACACCACGATTAAAAGTTGTGCTCTTTGTGAGTGTAACTTTGTTCAATCTCAACCAAACTTCTCATGTCTGATAAGAGTCCCACCCTGAACACATCTACATGGTAATATTCAGTTGTACTCATAGCGCCCCCTACTGGGAACATGAAGTAAGCGCTGTGCGGCAGCATCTGATTTACGTGAAATTTTCACAGTGTGGTCGACACATAACGCAACCGCAGCACAACTGCAGCTGTCACTTTTTATTTGAAATAAAAAATTTGTTGGAACATGATTAAAGGTGTAATGACCTATAAACACGTCAGTCTGAAGTAGTCTGTGATCCAGCAGAGGGCGACCTGAACAATCAGACACCAAATCATCTGTAACAGCTGTCTGACTCCAACTACAGATAATCTGTGACCACTAACGTCCTTCTTAAATCCTATTTATCAGATCGTTCTGAGTTTGTACATGTTAACGATGATCCTCTATAAATACTAAAGTTAGTCATGGAGTTCCACAAGGTTCTGTACTTGGACCAATTCTATTTACTTTATATATGCTCCCTTTAGGCAACATTATTAGGAATCACTCCATTAACTTTCATTGCTATGTAGATGATACCCAGTTATATCTATTGATCAAGCCCGATGAAATGATGATGATCAATTATCTAAATCACAAATAGGGTTGCAAAATTCCTGGAATTTTCAAAGTTGGAAACTTTCCATGGGAATTAACGGGAATATATGGGAATTAACGGGAATTAATGGAAATAAACTGGATATTTTTAATATTGCTTATTATAATACTGTTAGTCTATAACAGGGAACTTACATGTAGTTGAAAAGAAACATCTTGCAGGATAATCTTGCTTAAAACAACCTGATTTAATGCAACTTCAGTTGAAGGTCCTCTTTATATTCGTCCAATCAGCATAGGCTACTACATACTTGCCAACATTTATTTTTTTAATATAATTTTTTTCTTTTTTTGAGGAGGTTAATACATAACCCATTGCTATTAACCTATTTGGGTTAATTGTATTGTACGCATATAACCATAACCATAGCCATAATAAATCAAAGGCAGCATGCTGGCTACCATCATATGTTAAGCTAAAGGTCAATGGTTTGGGCTACTACTTATGGTGCTATCCATTTGTCTCGTAAATCCCCCGCCCGAGTTGCTCTGACGCGAGAATGTGACATAATTGCCCGTCTTGTACCACTTATAGCGTTCCAGTTGTCTTTGGGCATTACGAGTCAGAAAGAACATGGACGCCACCAGTGCAGCAGCTGTGTTGTTATTGATTGTGACTCTTCTAAACAAGCTCAATGTGAAATAATGTTTTTCTACAGAAACACAAACATTTCAAGTAATTCCATTATTGCACGTCTTACATTTCAATAATATTTTGCCATTTTCGCCTGTTTCAATTTCAACAAGTGCTGTGGCGTTTGTCTCGAGCCACCAGGGGCCTCCAGGGGCCACCAGGAGCCACCAGGAGCCACCAGGAGCCTCCAGGGGCAGTGGCAGGCTAGTGTTATTGTTAGCTACATTAGCCTATTTAGCAAACCAGCTCGAAAACCTGTACTAGCTTCTCTGCATTGGCTCCCTGTAAAATGTAGAATAGAATTTAAAATCCTCCTCCTCACCTATAAAGCTCTTCATGGTCAGGCCCCTTCATATCTTAA